CACACACACACACACACTCTCACTCACTCACTCACTCACACACTCACTCACTCACACAGGGCCAAGAGAAGAGTTGCTTGTGGAAACCGAAAAAAGAGAAGACAAAAAAAAAAAAAGAAATCTTCAGACCTCTATTCTACAGCACCACAGAGTTAAACATAGCACCAAGTCGTAATGTTCAAAGCAACTATGCCCTAACACACTTCAAACGGATGTAAACACAACTTCCTCCACAGCACGGTGTTTGTACATGACTATAGCATGTCTGTGACTGTGGAAAAAAGTTTCCTTCAGTGTATTTGCTTTGGACGCCTGAAGGTGACGAGATCTGGAGTGAAACTACATGTGTGCTCATGGACGGGCAAAATACAGCATTACTTTGTTCCAGGAATATTATAGAGGGCGACACACTTCTGCTTCTAAAGCTTTTCCCAGTGGGCATTCACGTACTATACATCAGAGAAAATACTACTCAACTTGTGCAGCCAGCGGGCTATGGCAATAATACATCGTACGGTACTAACATTAAGGTTTCTTCTCATCTCAGATAAAATTATATCTGCTAAAGTATGACAAATGAGGCACCTTAAAATGTTTTATGAACATTATTGTCCACTTAAAGCCGTACTGTAAGCAAATACTTTTATATATAATTTCTTTTCACCTTGGGAATCCTTCCCGTCTTTTCACACACCCTTGTACAACAACGTCTTACTGTAAATCATGGTTGGATTTATCTTTACAAATACAATACTCACCATGTACAGTACATAACAAATATAGATTTTTTTTCTCCTCGTATCTTACATGAAACCAATTTGCTAAAGTAGAATATGTTCTTTGACGCTCACTCTCAGGCAATAATCATTTTCTCACTCAGGTTTTCAGTAAGCATACATTGAGTCGATTCATTCGTGTGAATATTTGTCAGAGAACCTGTGATTTGTTGTTAGCAGGTGGAAAAATCTATCTGATATGTCTTTGAGTGATTGAACGAGCTTTTAGCGATAAAAGGAAAACAGCCGAGAGAAACTGTGTGGGGGGGGGTCCACCGGTTCTTATCGCACGACTCAGAGAAGTAAAACAATTTGGGCTTGATGTGCCAACTGGTCATCTCACGCAATGGGTCATTCAATGTACTGGGACATCGGGACATTCATTTCCTGTACAGCAAAACATACATTCATTATCGGTTAGTGTCGAAAAACTTAAACACACAGAGTAGTAGCTAGCACGTAATATACCCTTGTTAAAGATAAACAGTCAGGGTGGCCGTTGTTTGAATATTCCCAATGGCTTGTTAACATTTTTATGAAGCAATCACATTCTCCTCTCACAGCCGCAGTTAAACATTAACATCCTCTGGTTTGTTCATTCCGCATGAACTTTTCCACTGAAGTTATATTTATTCATTCATTTATCTTCTCTTGTGTTTTTTTTATTTTTAAGGGTATTCTATTTCTGTCCCATTATTTATGATGCACACAGTTAAATCAGGTACCCATTTAAGATATAAATGTAAAAGAGAAACAGAGCTATGCATCCTCTGTAGCACTTCCTCTTGTGTCCTTGGCAAAGAAAGTAAAAACACACTTAACATTGCAGTCTCTGACTCCCTCCCGAAGGAAAAGGCAGTTAATGTTAGAAAAATGAAAGAATTTTAAAAAAGGCAACTAAAAGGCACAGTGAGACGTGCCACATTTCACAAATGATGAACAATGAAATACATACGACAGAACACTTCACAATTCATCACCCTGTTCTTCCAATCCTACGAGTCCAACCTGTGTTGAGCGTGTAAGTCCCAAATTATTTCAAGAGTTCTCATGAAGGCTGCGATCTTCGTCCCAGCGCCGTGCTCTCATGACGCATTTAAACACACTGAGCCCATCGAGCAAATTAAGACACTGTTCCCTAATGGTTGGCACTGGATCGTAAATCAAAGCAAATACAATATGCCGGCTAATAAAAAGCTTCCAAATTAGATCAGGTTAGGCCTTATTATCCATTCAAATGAGCAATGGTGTGTGTTATAAACCTTTTTGTCCATACATTTCATATGTAAAAAGGTCAAGTACGTACAGTATACCACAAGAATTACAGCAATTCTGCGTTTACTCTGAGGTATATTTTGTGGTAAGAACCCTGTGTTTAAATACTGACACTATTTGTATTGTAGGAAAGGTAGACTCATGTCCCTGTCCAAGGATGCACCAGGCTTAACAGTTTAGTTTGACTGAAAACCTAAAGATGTGGACCCCTCAATGACCAGTGAGTGAAAAATCTTTAACGTGTTGTCACATACTCAACCAACACATCATTATTACTGTAGGAGGAAGCTAAAATCCCTTGTTTTACTATTTTATATACATTATATATTTTCAGAGCATTTTGAAGTGAGATTCCTCAAAAGACAAGTCGTGGTGACAACTCAGAAAAGCCATTGTTCTTGTCTTCTAATAAGATTTTTCCAACCCTGGAGTATTAATGTTTCCCGCTCCCCACACAATAATGAACTTTGAGAGATTACAAGAAATGTGGTGGCTTGATACAGAGGCCGGGGCGGAGCAGGGAGGGCTGAGGTGTGTGTGTTTGAGTGTGTATGCAGTGGAGGAGGAGGTTTAGTCGAGTCCAATGGCTTAGCGGGCACACGTGTCAGCGTAGAGTCCCATAATTTGGGCCCTCAGAGTCTGCACTGGCCAGAATGCCTGTCTGGTCCTCCGCAGCCTGCCTGCGGTGCAGGAAGGAGGGCAAATAGAGATAGGGGTTCTTCTTGTTTTTCCTTTTCCTCGTTCTGTGGAGGTGGAGGACCTCTCCCTCTTGGGGTGTCTGTGATTGCTGCTGGGTCTGAGAGGGAGACACACCTGGCAGGGAGGCAGGGAGAAGCACAGGAGTAACATGCCACCCACAGATTTCATTCTTCAGACATTCATTCTTGTGTCTTGTTTCTCAAATCGTCTGACTAACCTGTTCTCCCTGCAGGGGCTGCGTTGTTATTGTTGTTGGCAGCCACTCCCTTGGCTTTAGTAATGCAGTGGTGTAGCAGTGCTGGTAAGCTCTCAGACCCGGCAGGATCACTAGACGCACCTAGAGGTTCCCTGAGAAGAGGAGAGACAGCACAGCAAACATTGATCTGCATTAATCCAACAGTCGTGTTCAGTCCCGTCTCAGACTGAAAACACTAAATGGAACATTCGGCGCTATTTCCAGTAGAAGCTATCAAATGATCTGATGAGCTCTTATACGTCTACCGAGAGCCCTCTCACTAACATGATGAATATCCACTTAATATCAGCGTTGATGGATGACAAACGTTAGACATGAAAAGAAAGAAAGAGAGAGAGAGAGAGAGAGAGAGAGAGAGAAGGAAAGAAAGAAAGAAAGAATAGATGACATAAAGTGGATTTGGTGAAATTATTGGTTTGTCCTCATGCAGTCATTACATTAAAGACCCTGTCACGCAGTTAAACTACATTTCAGTATTACAGGGTTTTTATTAGTGACACAAAATCACTTTGCCCAATAACTCGTGGTCCCATAATCGTGTTTTAAAATATCAGGGACATTATATCATCTTGGCAACAGCGCTAAACACATTTCAATTTGTAGTGCTTACTCAGTTTTGGGTCTTTATGTAATGACTGCTTCAGATATGCAGGCAATATTGGTCTTTGCTGTATAAAACTCATAAAATGAAAATAATTTGTGGAACTGTTCATTACTGTTCCTGTAACAATAAATATTTTCTTTTTTTAATTACACTAAACCCAATACATTATTTTGGTACTCACTAGGTCTGGGGTCAGCAACCTATGACAAGCAAAGACATTTTCATGCAAGAAATTCCAAACTTTATTACAGTATAGACAGACGTACACTGTACGCCAATAATGTGTTTGATACTTCATACTGTCATTATGGTTCCGTAATTACAAACTCTCATGGATCTTGATGGAAAAAAATCAGGCATATTGAGGGGGACTGATATCCATGACTTTGTTGTGGCCCTGGCTATGTGCAAAAACTACAGAGCCGATTTTCTTGAAACTTGGTAGAGGGGTGGGATATGGGCCAGGAAAGAACTCATTTACTTTTGGAGTGAATTTGGTAAAGGGGGCAGGTCCAGGAATTAGTTTCTACTTCTTTTAACATTGCAAGATTTTTTAAATTTTTGTGAATTTGTGAATTCCTCCAGAAAGTATTGATGAGGAAAATCAGGTATGTGTAGGGTGCTAATATTTATGAACAAGATACATTTGGTGTAGGTCCGGAAAATGATGTGGATGTAAATGGCCAAACAGCCTTGGTGGAGGTTTACTCACCCTTCTAGTTTTTTACTAGCATACCTCACTGAATGTTTTTTTTTAAATTTTTTATGAGGACTCTTCTTCAAATAATAGGCCTGTAACCCTATTATCATAACAAAAAAGATCAAACTTCTTCTAATACTGACCAACTCTGCAAGTGCATGAACTGAAAATGAACGACAGGCGTGTTAACAAACATGAATTCTCATCTCACCAAAGGTTGCTGACCCCTGCCAAAGGTGTGAGGGCATTTCTATGACCGTTCAATGTGCTAATGAGACCTGAAGAACTATTTCCATTTCATGAGTGATACATGCTAGAATAAGTTGAATGAAAAATATCAGTGTTCAATCAGCAAATCAATCATCAACAAATCAACACATTAAGTATAGTCTCTTTCATCGTATGAAGTATATGATTAAGCAGTAGTTTCACCTCGTACCCAATACTCTGGCTCTGTTGTCCGTCTCGTATAGAAATATGTAAATAAAGTTAAATAAAAACCTCAGAAACTCAACATTTACGTTTTGATGAGTTTCATGAGGCTCTTTGCTTTTCAAACAACTGAACACAAACAGCTTCAAAACGTGACTTAATGTTTCATTAAGCCAAGTTGTTGTGCCACACATGTTTCAAAAGGAACACAAAACTTTAGAGACGCTGTCCATCACTTGTCACTGCGGAGAGAGAGATTGAGAGGCATTAGCAGAGAGGGCGAGACACAATCTGAGACTTAAAACAGTCCTGCACAGATAGAGAACACTCCCATTATCACATGGACTGTGTGCAGAGGCCCCAGTGTGTTAATATACAGTACATTTCCATAGACATAAACACTGTACAGCACACTTTCATAAACATGAACACTGCGTACAGAGGCTTCACCATGCTGACGGGAGGAGATGGCAGGAAGAGGAAATGGCCGTTAAAGAACAAGTCACATGACAGGAAGAGGAAATGGCCATTAAAAACAGTCACATGACAGAAAAACGAAAGCACTTAAGACAACAAATGTGACAAAGAATTTAGTTTGAGAATTATAGTTATTTGTTTGGTCATAGAGAGAAGTTTAGAGAATGCATGCATGGCATTTTGCACATGGAACAAAACTTTAAAGGGGAATACTCCAGTCTTTCATTCATGTGCGTCCTCTATTGATTCAAGGCTTTTTTTGGTTTGGTTTTTGGTGCAGGGAAACATGTCTGTGTTCAAACAATCAGAAGACAAAATTAAATGCTTCTCTACTGTCCAAACGGCTCCTCCTGCTTACTCACAAGCCTAATTACTGCAGCGCACTGTGCCACAGCATGGCAGGCTTACTGCTCCTTGGAAGTGTATTGACAAATGTGTCCTGCATGTCATTATTATTACCATTAGTTGTACTTCACTTGAATCCAGCACGGAGGCACAACCCAAAGCGATTCCCCTTTAAAGGAGAGAGTGATTAGAGCCCTCCCCCTGCTGACCCCTCCCCTCTCAGACATGGGTCCGACCCTTACCTATTGCGGCGTAGGGGACCGGGTCACAACAACGCTGCCCAGATAGCTGAGATCAATCAAAAACAAATCAGGTAAGACCCTTACCCTCTATAAAGCAGCAGCCCTAAAAGCTACTTTCCATTACAGGCCAGTGATGGTGCAGGAACGAGTCTCTGCCTCGTGGCTTTAGCTACTGTCTCACTGTAGCTTCTAAGGGTGGTGAGGTGGGTGTGAGGGGGCGCAGGAGTGGGTGCAGTATAAGAATGCTAAAGGGCATTAAAGTAGATATGTCTCCACTGTGTTTTTATATAAGCTTTCCTGTGTTATCTCTACATTTCTGCAAATGAACTATGATCTACCTAAATGTTAACTAGAAAAAATGTCTTCTCGCGATATTTATTATTCCCTCATGAATTACATATTCTCAGTCTTTATCCTTATGGTTACCACTCTCAAATAGGACACCTTTTATTAGGAGGTTATAAGTTGTAACTCATCTGTTTGATAGCAAATTAAGTTGTTAATTTAATGTTTGATAAATTATTTACTTTGACTTTAAAGGACAGTTAAAACCATTAAAAACCATTTAATTATATTGGGTTGCCAAGTAGTGGCTGGCTTTTGTCCTCTACCAGGATGACACTACATTTATTTTATTGCTATTTAATTTATCAGGAAAACCCCTCTGGTGTATCGTCTGTACTCAAAGATCCTGTAAAACCTCTGCAGAATATCTGTTTTTTATTTTATTATAACTTATTTTTATTTAGAATTACAGCCATTCATTTAGCATATTATCAGTCCTCCAGTTATAAATGTGCACACATCATAATAAGTAATTTTATTATGTGTAAAGTTTTTATCTCATAAGTCAGTAATAAAAGCTTTTGTTATAAATCCACTGAGCAAATGTGAATAATAACTGAAAAGTTCGTTTTGTCAATGTATTATCACTGGAATAATATACTTATGTTACAAATACTTCATAAAGTGTAACTTATTAGAGACTGGCACCATTTTAGAAATAGTATAAACATAAAAATGTAAACATAAATATACAGTAAATTATGAAAGTTGAACATGAATTAAATTTTTCTTGTGCCTCACTTGCTGATGATAATTGATCAAATCAGGTTTAATTCATGTGAAGTTGTGGAAGGTACTTTAAGTTGTTGGTTTCAATGGTCAAAATAACAAAAGGCAAGAACAAATGTCAGTTTCAAAAACAGTAAACTTGAGGGTGTCTTAATCTCCCTCCTTTAATTACTTTTTTTAAATTCACTTCATTTTTCATTATTGTGATCAATAGATTGAATATGAGCTATTAAATAATAAAGGTAAAAAAATACATGATCTTAAGATCAAATAGCTTCCACATGATTAAAGTTTAGAGAACTGTCATTTTTAAGGAGGGACACAGTCTGTGCTAAATGCAATTCCATGCCTTCTGCATATTTATGTACAATATGCATCGTGATTATGCCTCAATGAAATCATCAAAGTAAAACTGTGGATTATTATGTAGGAAATTTGGTATAGAGCAGACGACGAGACAAGTCTCGTCTTTAAATAAATATGTAACTATTCTCTACTGGAATAAATCACCTACCCTGAGGCTGATATCTGGAGCTGGGAGGGCTCTGAGGGTAGCATCTCCTCCTCTCTCCTTCTCTGGGACGGCCTCTGCCCGAAAACATCCCTGCCCTCCAGTGGGGGAGAGGGGGACTGGGAGGGGTAACTGGCTGCAGTGGAGGCATACGACATGTGGGCGTGGTAACTGGGGCTGGGTTGCGTGGTGCCCTGGCTCTGAGTGGGAGAGGCGGACAGGGAGGACCTCCGGGAGAAACTGACAGTGGCCGAGGGCTGCAGGGTGATCTCAGGCATCTCCAGAGACCGAGAGGTGCGGAGGATGCTGGGGCGCGGAGGGGGTCGTACTAGAATATCGGGAGAACCTGGCTGGGTGCTAAGGGGGCTTTGGGAGAGTGGAGAGAGGCGAGAGGGCTGGAGTACTAGTGGGGGTAGGCTGGGGTCTGCCCGGCGCCCCGCCCTCGGGCTGAGCCAGGACTGAGGACTACTACTGGGGGCTGTGCTTGGGCTCCCTGCACGGGCTGCCGGGTCAGGGTAAGGCAACACTGGTACACCCACACCGTGGGCCGTGTGTCTGAGCTGGCCGAGACTTTGGGCCTGTTGCATAGCTAAACGCCTAACCGGAGGCCCCAAGGGCCTGTCTCTGCCTTGGGGAGCCACAGGAACCTCCAGCTGCAGGAGTCCAGGACTTGTTGGATCCTGTAGTGATGAGAGGTGCAGTCGACTGGGGGGGAGAGAGTGAGGAGGGTATGGGGGTGGGTCAGGGAGGTCCTGGGGGTGATGTAAGGGATGGTGAGGTGGGTATATGAAGCGTGGACCCTCTAGACCCAAAAAGGGTAGCTCATGAGGATGCCAGCTATCAGGCGAGCGAGGAGGAGGGCTGTGTGTGTGAGACAGAGAATGGCCAGAGGCAGTGTACTGATGGTGCTCCATCTCTCCACTCTCCTCAGGGATAGAGGGGTAACCAAAGGGCCCGTCTGCGGTGCCTGGGGGGGAGGACAGAGCAGAGCTACGCGGGCTGATGTCAGGCATGTAGAATGGTGGTGGAATCCCTGATTCACCGCGGCTGCCTAGATACCCATAGAATGGGCCCTGGGGAAAGCCCCTGTAGCGGGAGGTAGGGGCCTGCCCTGAGGCGTGAAGTGCACTGCCCTCTGCAAAGCTCATACCTTCCATGGCCCTGTGTAGGCGGGGGCTGTAGTTGGGGGGCTGCGTTGACTCCAGGCTGGAGGACGTTGGGGAGAGCTGGGGCCGCAGCGTGGGCATGATGGGCGGCAGAGGCCCAGGGTCAAAATCATTCTCTTCATCAGACTGCCGGAACTCAGGGTACATGTCAGACTCCTCTGCAAAGGGGAAGCCCTGGATGCGGCGCGGTGGTGGGCTGGTGTCCATGATGAAGCGGCCATCGGGGCCGCGGCTTATCAGCTCAATAGGCGTGGTGACCTCTGCTTCATACTTGGACACACTGTATTTCTTGCTGGCTATGGCACGCTTGGTTTTCTTGTAGAAGGAGAGCTCCTTGTCTTTTTCTCTCTGAGGACTGGGCAGCCTCCTGACGTACAGGCCTGGACCGTGAGAACCTTCAGAAGAAAGAGAGCGCGGCCGAGAAGGAGGAGAGCTCTCTGGACTTATCTTCCCCGATGATAACCTAATTTAAAAAATGCAGAGACAAGACACTGGCTTGATTTAGCATGCACAAAAAGAAACTTGAAAGAAAAAAGCTAATATTTTAAAACAAAATAATCTTTATGCTGTCAATCAATGGTGATTTTAAAACCAAACAGATGACACAGTACAAAGCCAAAGCACTCCATCAACAAAGCCACAATAAACAGCGTTATGATAATGACCAGTTCATGGTGGCGGCAGCATCCTGATGGGACAGCCGCTAATGAATTAAGCTGGAATGATGGAATGAGAGTGTTGGTAAATAAAAAGTCCAGCATTGGGCCAGATAATAAGTCCAGACTTCTTATTCAACATTCATCTCTTATCTCTATTGGAGTCTTCACTTGTCGGTTAAAATAATTCACTGGAGATGATCAAAGTTCAACGCAGTAAAGTTTATTCTTTCACAAGCAATAAACCCGAGCAGGCTCCAGAACCTTACTGAAAATACAAGTTTCAAACCTTGGTATATATTTTCATCGTATCGATCGATAAGTGTCTTTTCCCAACTCCTTCCTTGTTTTAACGTTTGATGATTCGTCCAGATCTAACCGTGTCACACTTCCTGGCTTTACATCACTAGTTTTTTAACGATGTGCTAAATCATACAACTCTGACACTACCATACAACGTCAAACACCATCATCCATCTCTTTTCATTCCGGTGCCATACATAGATTCACCAAAAATCAACTTGCTGAGCTTGCACTTTGTAGTCTCACTACGTGGACACCGGGGTCGGTCTAACTTGGCTCCAGCTTATGAGGTCGGCCCATGAGCCTTATTACCTAGTCACCCGGGTCGGTCTATCTTGGCTTCTGGTCATGGGACAGCCTTGCGGCCTTCTTTGATGCTAGCAACCTACCCTTCACCCTGGATATTGTCCCCATGGGCGGACATAAGGTCTCGAAATTCCTGTCCAGGGAGGTGATGAACTTGGGATCCAGGATCACTCTGATTTTGCTCGTGTCATTCTTGAATACCTCGATGCTACTGTCTGAGCCAGTATCAGTGTCAGGGTCAATGTAGGGTGGTGTACATGGGGACAACACGCCTCTTTGCAAATCATTTGGTGACATGGGGGTGAGGGGTACATCAGCTGGCATGCTGACGGATGTGGTTGGCTGTGGATGTTAGGTCTCTGTGTCTTCTGCAAGAAGATGATACAGCTTGGAGGATGACGGTGGAGGTGGTGCAGTGTAGGCAATTGCATTCTGCATCATCTGAGATGGAGCTGCATATCCTGACATTGTCGGACGCTGGGTGTCCCATCTTGGTCCAGGTGGTGGAGGGGCAGTTGGTGCTGTATACTCCATTTGAAATGAGGGCCGGCATAGGATTGCCGGCCCTCCGTTGTGATCTTGATAGCCCCCCTTTTTATCCATAATGCTTTCTCATGGACATCTGCTCTGTCCTGTGCCGTTATTAGAGAGGAAAGAGTGATGATGGGTGCACAATCCTCAGCTACTAATAATGGACCCATACTAAGGCTCCCTGCCGCTCTTTTTGTAGTTTCATCTGCCAGATTATTGCCTTTAGCTACAAGGGAATCTGTTTTTGATGAGCTGGGCATTTGATAATTCAAGAGCTGTCGGCAGGTGCATTGATTCTAGTAGTTTAGATATGGCTTCCCCATGTGTCAGTGGGGTGCCATTGGCACACACCGTATGCATAGGCTGTCTGTATATATACATTGAGGCATCTCCCTTCCCCTAATTTACATGCTGCTGTTAATGCGGAAATTTCTGCTAATTGAGCAGAACAAGGCTGCGCTATCTGAGCTGCCTAAACCTCCCAAAAGGTGTTGTCTCCATTTAACTGCATTACAGCATAGCCTGCGTGATTTCCTGAAGCACCCCTAAAACAGGAACCATCCATGAAAAGTGTGAGATCTGCAGTAATTGGCTCATTATACAGGTCTTCACGGGCACGCATAAAAGTATCTGTCTCCTGGACACAGTCATGTGGGGCACCATCTACAGGTAATATCATATGAGTTGCTGGATTTACCGTGTTACAACGTTGTATGGTGAGTTCTGGTACTGACAAGATAACTTCATAGCCTGTTTTTGTAGCCTGGGTTAGAATGAACCGTGGACTAGTGAGTAAGGCATGTAATTAGTGAGAAGTGTACAGGATCACTGAGTGTCCCATAGTTACTGAGGACGCTTTCTGAAAAGCAAAAACAGCTGCAGCTAGACCCTGATAGCAAGTTGACAGTCCTGATTCGATATTGTCTAATTCTGTGCTATAATAGGCTAGTGGTTGTTTACCTGTTGGCATCTCCTGCATCAACACTGCATTTGCATAACCCAACCTTTCTGCAAGATACAAGTGAAATGGTTTAGAAAAATCTGAGTTTCCAAGTGCTGGGACAGATTACAAGTCTCCTTTTAGTGCTTGGAAAGCTCCCTCTGCTTTCTCCGTCCACTGTAATTGAGCAGAGTTATTAGTTTGTCCTGCTGCCCGTATAAGGGCTCGTAATGGTGCAGCTTTAAATGCATAATAACAAATTCATATCTATATCCTGCCATTACCAGAAACGAAAGGTTCTGTCCAACAGTTTGTGGTTTTGGAGCTTAAGTGATAGCCTCTATTTGTGAAGCTGCGATTTACCTTTTACCCGCACATAATCGCCTTCCGAGATACTCAACATCTGTTTGACAGAATTGTAGTTTGTCTTTGCTAACTTTATGACCCTCCCTTCGCAAGTGCCGTCAAAATCATCAGTTTGTCTTTCTCACATTGCTGTGTAGAGGGACTGCAGATTAACAAATCATCCACATATTGAATCAGAGTGCTTGGGACATCTATGTGTTTGGTTTTGAGCCAGCACCCTGTTAAATATTGAGGGGCTATCTACATAACCTTGTGCCAAAGGCGTGTATATGTATCGCTGTCCCTGATAAGTAAAAGCAAACAGATGCTGTGACACTAAAAAATGCTGAACACAGATCAATCACTGTATACCAATGTGCATTAGGTGGGATGTTTGAGAGCAAAGTGTGAGGATCTGGGACGGTAGATGTCTCAGCATCTACAATGGCGTTGATTGCCCTCAGATCATGTACCATTCGATAATCATTGGCTTTTAGTTTTTACTAATACACTGACTTTCATCAGACCATCAACTGTTGGTCTGATTCCTTCAGTAGCATGCTTTTATGAGGGATATTGTTTCCTATATGGTAGCCTAGTTCCCACTTTAAGCTTGATACATGTAGGCTATGCTGATGAAACTAGTCCTACATCTGTTTTGTTTGTTTTTTGACCATAGACTTTCTGGTCTTGGATTCGATAGTGATGTTCTGATGTTAAAGGCATGTGTGTGGGTATTCTTTCATCTAATAAGACTTTCTCGGCTGTACTCTCATCATATGTTCTAAATGATATTTTAATGTACTGTCTGTCTGAGGAAACAAAGATACAGTTGTTGTGGATGGGGGTCCATTTTCGTTGTAATGCATTCCTAACCAATGGACCTTTTGCAACAATCAACGTGATATGGTGTGATAGGTGTGGAGCCTGGGGCTTGGAACCAGTCCTGCAACTTTGTGGGGGGTACTATGGCTGCAGCCACTCCTTGTGGTCCCAGGTATATGTTCTGGGTGATCAAGTGATATGGTTTCTTGCTGTTTACTTCATCCCAGAACTCTTCATAGTCTTTTTGTTTTTGCTGGTTATCATACTGTATATAAGAGTGCAATGTGGGGGCAGACTTGGTTCGACTGCATCACTCATTTGAATCCGCACCCATGGTTTCCATGTTTCCCACTCCTGTAACAATTCTGCTTTTGACATCAAACGGATCCAATACACCAAGGGCTTATTTTGATCTCTAATCTTTCGGGATGTCTGTAACGGCATCATTGTTGCATTTACATCTTCAGGGAAGTCTACATAAAGGCCTTTTCGTGTACACATAATATTGGCCTTAAGGGGAAACAAAATGTATCTTCCCAGGAGATTGATTGGTGTGTCATTTGAGTATAGCAGTGGTGCAAAATCCGTTTTGCCCACAATAACCATTGGGACCGGCTGTGTTAGGTGTACCACTTGAACTTTCCCAGAGAAGCCCATTGTCTTGACAGCTGATGTGGAGAGGGGGAGTTGTGAGCTGGATTTTCCAATTCATGAGTAAGTGGCCCCTGTGTCTATTATAAATTGATGTTCTTGATTCTGAATTTCACGGCGATGGTGGGCTCATCTTGTGATTGGATTAAGACTACACGTGCCATTAATTCCCCCTCTGACTTCTCTGGGTCCCTCTACTGCCAGTCTGCTGCTGGGCCCGTCCAAGGTTTGGCTGGGCAGTCTCTGCGATAGTGGCCTGGTTGATAACATCCCCAACTTAGTGCTTCCTCGGGTTGAGGTTGGAGGTGTGATTGAGACGTCTGTATTGCGGTGGGGGGAAACCTCTTCCCCCTCCTCTCTGGGCTGGACCACCTCTTTCTTCTGGCTGGCTGGCCATTAAATGTTGGTCAATCAAAAGTCCAGTACTGGGCCAGATAATAAGTCCAGACTTCTTATTCAACATTCGTCTCTTATCTGTATTGGAGTCTTCACTCGTCGGTCAAAATAATTCACTGGAGATGATCAAAGTTCAACGCAGTAAAGTTTATTCTTTCACAAGCAATAAACCCGAGCAGGCTCCAGAACCTAACTGAAAATACAAGTTTCAAACCTTGGTATATATGTTCATCGTATCGATCGATAAGTGTCTTTTCCCAACTCCTTCCTTGTTTTAACGTTTCTGATTCGTCCAAATCTAACCGTGTCGCACTTCCTTTGCAGATTTTTGGCTTTAGATCAATATTTTTTTAATGATGTACTAAATCATACAACTCTGACACTACTATCGATACAACTTCAAACACCATCATCCATCTCTTGTCAATCTGGTGCTATCCATAGATTCACCACAAAGCAACTTGCTGGGCTCGCCTCATTATGTAAGCACACGGGTCAGTCTTACTTGGCTCCAGCTTATGAATCCGACCCATGAGCCTCATTACCTAGTCACCTGTGTCGGTCTAACTTGGCTGCTGCTCATTGGACGGCCTTGCGGCCTTCTTTAATGCTAGCAGCCTACCCTTCTCCCTGGATTTTGTCCAAGTTAGGCTGTTCCCTTTAGTTTTCTGAGGCCTTCCCAGCGCAGTCATACCGTATGAGTACATAAGTTTGTAAAGAATGAATGTAGTTAATTAAATGAATGAAATATAGTATGAGTATACACGTTTGTTAAGAATGAATGTAGATATAATGAATGCAGAATTTTCAACAAGAGGGGAACCAATGACGCAACCATGACAACCGCATCACTTATCCATTGAGTCTACATCTTCTTGAGCAGACATGAGACCAATTACCATATGCTGCACCAAATGGTGATGTGAGGAAAGCAGATGACATCTAACCAGGCCTCATTTGCCCACACCAGGAGCAGCACAGTGGACATTTAATGGTTCACTGAATAAATCACGTAGACAGACATTGTAAAGAGTGCATATGCACAGTATTGTACTGTACATGCAACTGAGCTAATGCAGTTTATTCCCTGTATGGTGCGTGAACGTCTGTGCATGCATAAAGACCAGCGGTAGACTTCACTATAGGAAATAATCAGTGAGTTGATCATTTCTATGCAATGCATTAACCATGCAGCCAAGCCAGTGCAGTGCAGCACACTCTGTATTTTGGTGCAGGCAGGCACTCACAGGGGGCTGGCGGGCGGGGGCAAGAAACTGCTCCTGGCTGGCTCGTCCCAGCAGGGCTCTACCCCTGGCAAGGGGGTGAGAGGAGGCCTGCGATGGGAGACAAACGACATGGGCCTGGTTCATCTTTATCTAAGTCACTTGCAGGAAGTGAGAACACCGTGACCTGCCTGGACCATTTAATAAAAATAGACAAAAGTATCTAAAACTAATGATCTCCTCTAAAGTCTCAGGCAAACAAACATTTACACTGGAATGGGATTTACACAGATTATTGTCACAAATGAAGTACTTCTGAGATTGAAATGCAGTCATACATGTACACAGGTTTTACACACGGACAGATGAGTACAAACATGTAGCAGATACTATAGATTAAATGTGCAGCATTATTAAACACTGAGAATCATGCAGAAAGCAGAGAGCGTTTGAGGTTAAAGAATACAGATGGATCAAAAATCAATATATACACACTGCAGCTTGGGCACTCTGGGTAATGCATTTAAAATGCTGACTTGGCTGCTTTGAACTCTTCCTAATCTGCCCATGATCCACTAGAGGCTGCTACTGTACATGTTCTTCCACACCCTCTGAAAAAAACTCAAGCTTCCATTATAATCAATATGCACAATAAACCCTGGGCTGCTTTGTCCCCTTCTCCATTTCTATTCAATCAGCATAAACATATTCCTTATGGTCTAAAAGCACAGGAGATGCAAAATGTGTGTATCAAGCAGCTTCAAGAAAAAGTCTTGAAACAGGTTGTGTAAATTCTAGGAAATTTTCTAAAAAGGTGCAAAAGAAGATGCACAGCAGCGGCCACATCTGGTCGAGTGCAGTGGCTCCGTCGTTGGCTTTACTTACGGTGACTCAATGCTTTTCCTGAAGTGTGTCACCGACAAGGGAGGATCTGAGAGGACAAAAATATTACAAATGTAGCTTTTCTTCTGTTGAACACCACCAGTACAAGTCAGACACATGGATGGATCATGACACAATGGGCCTCTGGGCACAAACATGTAACAGGCCTCATCGTTAGGAGTTGTTTTCTGTTACTTTGTGCTTGTTTTGCATCTCGTTTTGTCTTTATTTGTCTCTTTGCAGTTGTTTTATGTCCATTCAGTTCAGTAATCCATTCATGTGAGATGTATTATATGTACTGCATGTGAATTAAGTGGAGATGGAGACCGACCTGGTTTGCGCTTGAGTTTGCGGCGGTGTTGCTTATTGACAAAGCAAGCTGCTAGAGTACTGAACAGTACTGCCGCGGCCAGAAAACAAATAGTTGCCACGACACCCGCCACCACAGGGCGCGCCAGCCCCTCATCAGGCAACTCCGCAGGAGGGAAGGGATCTGACGGGGCAGACGAAGAGGTAACAATTAAAAAGAGGTAACAATTAAAAAATAAATTCTCATTTCTATGTATAGATTGTAAAACTTTTCTGTGAAGGCACTGACCCGTGCTTGATACGCCTACAACATTACTGCTCTCACTAATCAGGTCGTCCATGACAGCCATCACTCGAAACTCATACCAGGACTCCTGACAGAGAGAGAGAGAGAGGCACCACACACTCTGTTCTTTTGTCCCTCTCATACACAGATTTGTGCCATGTAAATTGAAGGTGAAATAAAAAGCATTAAACCAGAAAATCTCCCACAGACACATATCAGAATGTGTTTGCCCGTAACTGACCTGGACGAGGTCCCTGGCTATGAGCTCGGTCTCAGTTGAAGCGATCAGGTCGTCCAGAACCTCCCACCTCTCTCCGAGGCGGAACTCCATGATGTATCGGTCGATGGGTGAGGAGTGGTTGGCTGGAGGGAGCCACGTGAGGAGGACACCGTGCTGCGTGCGGTTAGCTGTGAGGCACCGTGGTGGAGTAAGAAGCACCAGTGGTTCTGGGGTACCCAGAGGGGAGCCTGTGGACCAGAGATGGGACATCATGAAATATCTGCACCAAATGTATTAATCCATCAAGGACATTTTGAAATATTTGACTGGGCACCATGGAAATCCATCTAATAGTTGTCAGGACATTTGTTCTAAAATTGTAATGTATCAACCTGCAGAGGGTAAAAAAGGAAGGAGTCACCAGTCAGTAGTAGTACAGTTAAAACATAGTATGTTATGAACTATCTACTAAATGTTTATGTGCTGTTTATCAGTGCTTGAACACTAACTATTATGCGAAGGTTTTTCTTGGTAAATAAATAAGTGAAACATGATAAAACTGGACCATGACTGAACTTGTCTGTTTGTTTTTTGAACCAACATTAATAAATATTCCTTCATTAAGACCCTTCACGTCGTTGTTCTTTCCACTACTATGTTAGAAAATCCAGCCATGCACTTTCCTCTCTTTGTGCCGTTCGTTCTGCTGAGACATTGATTTTAAATACCACGCACCTTTAATTCACTTTCTGTTCACGCAGCGGGCAAACAAAGGCTGAATTGGCAGCATGCCCTTGAGGCATGAGGTGGATTAAAACACACAAGAATCTAAAAGATGTAAATCTTTTCTTTTTATATTGAAAATACACTTCAGATCTAAAAATAGCTTTCCTAACATCTGCTAAATTCAGCTGAGTTGAATAACAACTTATTTTTCAATGTTTTCTCACAGCAAACATGTTGTCTTGTGAAAAGCAGGGGAAACTAATAACATTAATAAATAACTCTGGTATTGTACAATTTGACATGTTTGCAGAGACAATTATCTGCTGTTTTGCTCAGTACATGAACATGCATACAGTTTTAGTGAACACAGAGCATTCAACCAATTTTAATTCCTTTTTGAATATTTTCCTGTGATCTCAGACACATATCACAGGTTTTTCTTTGAGAGGCTGAAAGGCCTGGATTTGTGTGCATACAACACTGATTATGAATATATGTATATACATTTCTTGGGTAAAAATACAGTGAAACTGTTTATTGTGCTTTCCACAGTAACAGTAGCAAAGAAATGTAATAATATGAAAAATACATTTGTGAACCTCTGCTGTATTGTTCATGGCCTGATTCTACTTAAAATCCTGTTTCATTTTTAAGAAAAGAGATAATTGTTTTGATTGACGTTTTATTAATTTAATTTAAAATGTATTAACCCTATTTTGGGTGTGGATATGAAGAATTTGTGTTATTATTTTCCTAATTATGTGGAGCTGATGAACCGGTGGATGTGGTTTTTCCTCTCCATCCAGTGGCAACCTCAAACAAGGTTAAACACACTGTGTGTAGCCTGAGAGGTGAAACTCAGAAGGTGCTTGTTGACTACTGCTCTGTTTAGTATTTAAAGTGTTTAAATAGAGTTTAGTGAAATAAGAGTGGGACAAGATTAGGATTTTTGCACCTGGCTCATCCCAAGTAGAAATTAAATCCTTATATACACACAAGTGTAAAATTCACTAGAGGGCAGTGTCTTCAACACTGCATCAGATGAAAAAATAGTATGTGTGCGGCTCGCTGGGTTGGATCTGAATTCAACAAGAGCCAAACGTGGATTGAAAAACCTTTGACTAACGGCACCCACCTGCAGTGTTGACTGTCACAACTTCGCTGAATGGGCCTGTGCCCAGTTTGTTTTGTGCCAACACACTGAACTGGTATTCCGTCCCAGGCTCCAGCCCTGGCACCACCAACCAGGTCTGAGCACCAGAAACTGGCATTGAATGCCAGTCATGAGGACCAAAGTCTACTCTCTTTGACCTGAGAACAGAAATGATACAGAAAAACAGAAAACAATTATATAAAGTGTGATAAAAAGGTAAAACTGCATCATGGTGACTAATGTTCTGACTGTAAAATAAGTCGCACAATCATCTTACATCATGGTCTTACTCCCCTTTGTTCCAGGTAATGTGCTGGAGACTTTACTCATCATTTTCTAAAGATGGGCTGTTTGTGTAGTGTTTAATTACTGGGACGTTTCTAAGGAAGGCCTCCTCAGTTGGTTATCAGGGGAATGGAGAGAAAATCTTAAAGGTTTCCTGGACAGAATCATGTAGATTAGTTCTAATCAATGATAGAGAGAGTTATGTTAGACTAATTAATGTTATTTTGGTAGTTTTTATTAGTTCAAGTAACTAAATCCAAATGAATAGTAATTACTCATTAATTTATTATTATTAATTTATCATTATTGGGAACATTATTTATCATTTATGCCCTATTATATTTTAATTTCTTGACACATTTTGCATTTTATGTGTATAACTCCAGCTGTCAAATTAATAAAAGCCTCAATGCTGAGCTATTAATAACTAGACCAACTGATCACTCTCTATGTTCCATGTTGGAAGCAAATCATACAGTTCTTCCCAGGAAACATCTTAGGAAAATATTTACTTTGTATTAAAATACAAAATTTCTACATGGAATTCTTAAAATGTGGCACTGTCAGTACTGCCAATCACCATAATGTTACTGCAACATTCAGAGTCATTTACTTACCTTGAAACATTGCAACAATCAGATGTGCAACTATCTCTTTAACCTTTTTCATCAACTACTCTTTTCTCGTCCTCTGACTTTAGAGTCTTGCAGAGATTTAAATGAGTAAAAACTTTAAACTGTAAAAGTAAAGGAGCCTTGTGAACCACCAGTAAATCACAAACCTGTTATAGTCAGAAGTAAATATCAAGCCAGTTCCTGACTCCAGAGCATTTATTGAAAACATGTTTTTCACTTCAAACATTGACAATCAATATCTTCTTACTTTTAAACCCACTTGAATGATCCATGCAGGAATCTTTAACAGCTGATGACTGACACTGACAGGATAACAGAGACTTATTTCAATGCAAACCATCTTTTTACTACATTACAATTATGGCCTTCAGTCAGTTATCACTGCAGCCTTGAAAGCAACAAGCAACATTTTATTTAGTTGTGTTTATATCCATAGTGATCCACTCCACTAGGCCACAATGTGAAATGGATTTAATTATCTCTTACCAAAGTAATTACAGGGCTTTGACACACAAATGTGTAGTTTCAAGTGAAATGTGGTTGTACATAAGAACGAAGAGGCAGAACATTCAGTTTTTCTTCATTTTCTCAGTCAACACATGAGTATCCAGTGATTCCAGGATGGATGATTTACTGCGAAGCATGGAAAAGTCTGAAAATGATGTTCTGATCTGACAATTAGTGACTGATTATCTGATAGTGAGTGGGATGTTACTGCAGTGACGCTCCATTACTTGCACACATGCATACACATCCCCACAGTAACACAGTCAGCTGTCAAAACTATTCTGCTGTGAGCATCTGACGGAATTTCATGTTTTACCACCAACGCGGAAGAAAAATAGATGAATAAATAAATAAATAAATTCTCCTACTGTGAGACAGAACTAGGCCAATAACCAGCAGGTACAGTGTTTCTACATCTGTGAACAGCAGCCAATGATTTGAGGAAAGTAAGAGCACTCACACTGGACCGTACCACACGGAGAACGTCTGTTCGAAGCCGCCATCATAACCTGGTTCCCAGGACACATTAGCAGAGGTTGTCGAGGGCAACACATGGATATTTCCCGGAGCATGTGGGCTGGTGCCTGTGTGGTTTATAGAGACAGAGAAAGAATAAATCTAAAAATGCACAAGTGCTAATTTACTTATCAATTATAAGAACTTACAATTATCAAATTATATCACTTGCAGTAATTAAGCTAAGGATATGTTCACATGAATACTGTATTTAATTCATAGTACTGGTAATTCATAGTCAGACTCGTACTGATTAAGTTAAAATAACACAAACTGTGTGTATTTGGTTGTGTAGCATCATGTGTTTCTCTCAGTGGACAGTGTCACACTGGCTGAGGTGGTGACCAGCGTAAGGTCGACTTCAAGAGCAGCGGCGCCGCCTGCTCCGCTCATCCCACCCACCTAACAGCTGTGCAGTGTGGCCCACAGCCAGCTTCTCCTCAGCCAGAGAGAGGGAGACCTGAGCGTGGCCTGAGGAGCACAGCTGTTTGCTCCGTGACACCTGTGAGCCGAGGGCTGGTCGCACAGCTGTGCCGCAGTGTGATGGCGCCATAGGCTCTGAGGCAATGGGCTACTGGGGCAGGCCTCACTTACATGCTCACAGTTCACTAATTCAACACCAACTACTCCTTTAACAGACTTAAAGGACGAGTTTAGAAAATATGATTATTCGATTTCTCAGTGATATAAATGAAACAGAACTGACTCTATCACATATGTGTGCATTAAATATTAAGAGAGGGATCACTGGTCTTATTAACCATGCTCCATGTTTATATATAGAAATCCTGACACTGGAATCTGTGACATTTCTGATGAAATATGTAGACGGTTAATCACTTAAAAGAATAGCTCAGGATTTTTGGGAACAACATCACCACATCATAAGTACAGCTAAAGGTGGATGTGTGAGACATGAGAAAAGTATTTCATCTTTTTGTTTAACTCTCTGCAAGAAATTGAATGAAGAAATTGAAAGTGTATACCAAATATATTAAACTATTCCTTTAAACCAGCTCAACTAAAAATGTAAAAAATACACATTTATGATATTGTTTTGGTAACAATATATATACTTAAGAAATGTTGGTGGACCATGATAGGGGAGTCATTGGATTTCACACCATGCAGCCTTTATTGCATGAATCCCATGCACCCCTTCTACCAATTGACAAATTAAAATATTTGCAATAAATCTTGAATAATCTTTGACAACTTCCCTTTGTAATCATGCTTATTATACGATACACCTCTATAATCCAGCCAGTAGAGTGAGGTGGAATGAAAACTTTGTGTGCAGCATTTATCTACTCACAATGGCTGCTGTTACTGTTGTATGAAGCACTATACCTAGGTTTTAAAATCTGGAGTCTATAATTTACATAACTGGTGATAAAGGTTCTGCATGGAACACTCAGGAATCCTTCGTTATGGATGAGATAGTTGGCTCTTAATGAGTAATTTGCAGCCAGTATCCTGTTGCACGCACTCGTGCATGTGCTGATAAGCCGTAGGTACGCACGAGCGATCATCACGGGCATCGGCCAAAACAGTGACATGATGCTTGGACTAGGACTGAATTCATCCCTGTATGGTGCTCAGATTGTGCCAATCAAGGATTATTAGAGGAAGGAGAAAGAGTAGTCTACGCTTCCAGACTGCAGAAACATGTGACAGGGATCGACTGGGACTGCACACGAGAGAGCGGCACGAGTGGCACCTTGAACTGCCACCAGAGCACACAGAAACTTTCTTGATGATTTGCCCTTCATGTCTTTTGTCAACACATCACTTAATCAGAGTTAGAAGATGTTCTTGGGTCGAGGCAGTGGATACAAAACTGTAGCTACAGATTAACACTTTAATATAACTGACTGAAGATAATAAAGATCAGATCAACTGAGGCAATATGTTTGAAGGATAAGGGGAATTTCTTCAAGACACAGCAAAGTACGGAAATAATTTTAATTTTAAATAATTTTACCCGGCCAATGCCTGAGAAGCTGAGAAAAATGGTTTTACTAAAATTATTATTATTTTTTTGTACAGTTACATTTTCAGATTTTGCAGTGTAGATATTAAGTAGATATGTAGAGCATAGAGGGCCCCATACTTCTCTATGTTAAAGTGAATAATACAGTTGTACTAAATGAAAGTGCATTTAAGTAGAGGTTGAGGAGGATGAGAGCACTGTGCAGGTTGTTTGTACCGATGACAAGGATACGCGTGCTGGCAGTGATGCTTGTAACCACATTGGTGGCAACACACTCCCATTCTCCATGGTCTTCCTTGCTGAGGGACAGAAACTGTAAGCTGCCACTGGGTAGGATGTTGTGCTTACTCCTGCTCGGCTTCCCCACCTTCATGGACATGGACATTAGAGTAACATGGTTAAGAAGTGCTGGGCAACGCTTCAATAAAAATTATAAGATGTGTGTGTTTGTGTAATGCACCTTTCTCCAGGTGATGGTTGGTATATCAGGGTCTCCAGAAGCAGCACAGGGGATAACTAGCTCTCTCCCAGCCTCCTGACGGTACTCCCCCCCAGGCCTCACATTAAAGTAAGGGGGATCCTGAACACACACAAACACACACCATGCAGACGGAGGCAGATCAGTCTATTCTAGAACATCCAACACTACCAGACATGAGCAGGGATGTACCTTTAGCACCAAAGTGGCAGGGGGGGACATGCCCATGGTACCCAGGGCGTTGTAAGGCACACAGGTGTAGGTGCCCAGGGAGTCTTCTGTCGCCTCCGCCACCCGGATACTTCCATCTGGCATCAGGCTCCAGCCGGGGTACTACAAGACAAGGGGCCATTTAAAAACGCTTCAAATCAGGGGTCCTGAAATCTCAGGGTCTCGTCTAAATGTTTCTGATCTGCCCAAGAAATGTAAATGAAATGCCTTTAAATCTGATCAATAAGGAGTGTTTAATAAAAGCAAGTCTGCCTTTAACAGCACTGTGAAATACTCAGTGGCAGTAGACGAGAGAGTAGATCAATAGAGCAACAGATAGAAAGGTCTGAGCTCAGAGATATCTTTCAATAGGTTCAACTCTTAATTAATGAAACAGATCTTTTACAACTTTAAATAATAAAAAATTTTTTAAATTGATATGATAAAAAATATGTTATTTGTTGTAAATAAGTCTGAGCTAAACTTGTTGAGAGTTTATAAACTTGAAGCAGGAGAATCTCTACATGTGATCTTATTTTGCTAAAAACAATCTCAAGTAAAGTAAATCATACTGACCATATTTAAAAAGGAAATCTAATTTTAATGTTGTTATAATAAATTATAGGTGATCAAATCTACAACACTCTCAACACTATGAGGTTGCACTGGATTTACACTGAGACATGCAGGGCAGTGGAAAAGCTAAATGAAACATAACAAATATAGACTGGAGAATGATGGATGAAGGAGGTTAAAGGTCCTGAGGCAGACAGACCTTCTCCACTCGAAGAGGATAGCCGTCCTTCTCCCACTTCACTGATGTTACAGGTGGGTTGGCGTCCACCGGGCAGCGGATGATGCCTGGCAGTTTCCGTGGAACGTAGATGACCGGAGGCATGTTGATCACTCGGGCAGGGTCTGAACATAAAAGAGACATTATGATGTTAGAGACGTTGGAAACATAATCAACAATGTCTGAGCCAAATGTTTGATATAATCTAATGTGTAAAGAAAATAAACATGTGGTGTAATGTTTGATGAAAAGAGCTGGTTCTCAGAACATTAAATATCTTTTTAAACTTCTCAGAGAGACTTATTTTTGATCTTTTGAATCTCTCATGCTTCCACTTTTTCCAAAATTTGATATGAGGGTTTATATTTTATTTCAAATAATAGATAAATATTACATCATGATGTGCTGCAAAATAGAACCTTTGCAAAAATGTTATTGATGTATAAACTCATAAAACTGTGAGAAAACCATACATTTCAGATTCAACATTAGAAACCATGAGTGACTGAGTCTGTTTTTGATGGAAAAGTGTATTTTATGAAAAAAAGTAACCAATAATTATCTGTTCGATTAACCAACCCTGGTAATCGTCTCAGACTCCTGCTGAGAACAATTACTTCTTTAAGACATTACACTCAGAATCATTATGACATTCTGGGAATCCTTCGAAAAAAGACGTCCTGTTCGTTTCTGTAAGTACAAGTTGGACCTTTGATAAAATGACTCTCAAGTACCCGTAAAGTAGGAGTGTGGTTGATTCTAGTTAACTCAAGCAGGATTCCTGGGATTGATTTTCAGATGCTTGACAAATTCAGGCTCAGGGTAAGTTTTGCATGAAGCATCCAGGACCCTGATTTCGTGATGTTCTGCTGTATCTGATGAAATCAGTCCCTGCAGTGCTGTGACTCCTCCAGCTCTCCCTCCCTTCCTCCCTCCCTCCTCCTCCTCATACTGTAGCACAGTAATCAATGACCAGCTTTAAGTTGGGAACAAATTAGCTCAACATGAACGACACGGCTGAAACCGTCAGATGGCCAGGAGAGCTCTCATCAGTCTCAGCTGATGAAGAGGAAGGTCACAGTTCGATTTAGAGGGGGCCGGATTGAAAAGAGACGAGGAAAAATGGAGCCCGAGCACGAGTCTGTCTCCATCTTTGTGCACAGGAATGAGGCTGGAGTCGGAGCAGATAATAATTCAATCATTGAATCCCTTTGAGACAACGGTCAAAGAGGCTGAGTCAGAGTGATGGTGGGGGGGGGGTCTCTGCTCCCTCTCTGAAACCATCTGACCTTGAAATAGAAGAAGGTTACTTTGCATTACGGTGGCAGAGCAGCGCTGCCGAACACTAGAGCAGCCTCCGCCATGAGCAGCCTCCATACTGCTGCTGCTGTTCCCTTCTCCTCACACAGCCAGCGCCCGCCCCTCCCCCGCCACTTTGTTGCCACGGTAACACTTACACTGAACAGTCAGGTAGGCCGATGCTGAGGGCGAGATGCCGAGGCTGTTGCTCGGACTGCAAGTGTATTTCCCAGCATCCTCCGGCTTAACCCGGAAGATGATCAGGGTGCCGTCGATGAGAATGCGCACTCGGAGCTTCAGATCGCTGCAAGATACAGACACAGATTTATTTTTTTTATTTTTTTTGTCACACCATGTTGCTGAAACACACCAACAGGACAGAGCACCCATCGTTTTGTTTTCTGAATTACATCAATGTACCATAAGAGAGCAGCAGAGAGTCAAAGAGCAGGCAGCTCTGAGAGAGAGCCACAGAACACAGAGTACAGAGCGAGAGAGATTCAAATCAATCTGCCAACTGTCATGGTCGCCAAATGGTACTGCCTTCATGTTCTTCCCCTCGATACCATTTAAAATTAAACAAGCTAATGATGCAGCACACAGTCAGTTTGTTTCCATTTGTGATGGAGCTGCTCTTGTGTCTGCACATAATTCAACAAACTAACCAAAAACAATTCAACATTTAATCCACACAAATAAAAAACAGGTCATGTTATTATTACTATTGAATCATGGGATGAACTGAGAGGTTAAAGGTTACTCTTCCAGTTTACTCTAAGTAAGATTATTTTTTTTACCCCTACAGAAGACTCAGCAACAGCAACCATAGTGCAAGTTTATTTCATTTCACACTGTGCAAGACAGATCTAATAACATCTGTGGGAGACTGTGCAGTGTCAGTTTGAGGCACATCAGAATGTGTGATGAATTTGTGGTGAATTATACCACTACGATGCAAATAGAATAAAACAAGAGAGCAGAGGAACGCAAACAGCTCATGTCATCCATCTGCGCATAGTGTTGATTTGAAAATGTAGCTCTCCGAGGGTTTCTTTTTTTCTTGAGTTGCAAAAACTGATTTCCTCTTCCACCTTTTTGGTCAGCGCATGTGCGCACTGCTGTGTTTCACCTTTATTCAAGATTGCACAAACAACTGTGTCATTTCATGTCATAGTCTGGTTGTATCAGTAACGTCACTGTGAGAATCGGATCCTAAATGTGCATTTATTATATATTATTTAATCTGCATTTATTATGTCTATTAATACATTAGTATTTTTTAAAATATTTTCTATTTTAAATGAACTTTGATTATCCTACTTGCTTTTATATTGTGTTCTGCTTGTATATGCACATGCAAATTAATATACTTGAAGGTTAAAATCACACAGTCTGGTCTTTTCCACTATTGGAATAATTGAACAATTGAATTCTGTCTGATGAATTGCACAGTCCTGTATCCTCAGCATCGATCCAATCAATCTACATTCTTTTATATAGGTATATTATATAAAGGTATAAACCTTTATATAATATACCTATATAAAAGAATACCTTAGAAAGTGGTACAAATAAAACGTTATGGGATTCTCTGATGTATAACTAACCTATCCTGCAAATAGATCAAGTCTGACACAGTGAAAGCTGTTCAACAATTAGACTGGATACTTCCTGTGTGTGAGCCCCACAGACACTTGCTTTCACTGCCAGTCAAAATCCCATTGACTTGTTCCTCCCTCCCACTTGTTCTGTCTGTCACTTGTTCTCTGTAAAAAACCCTCTCAGGCTCCAGGGCCCTGCTCTGGGGAGCGCCGCAGAGATCCTGGCTACGCTTCAGATCATCACTGCATGAGAGGCAAATCATGACACAAGGCCTGAGTCATGTGGTATTGCCATCAGAGCGCACTAACTTGCCTGGCACACTCCAGACTAACCCCCACCAGGCCCGCGCTTACTACCCCCTGGAGCCGCAGCAGGACAGGACACAAGCACGCACACACACATGGAGGCAAACACACACACACACACACCAAATACCCTCTGACAGACACTCTAAATACAGCACAGCAAAGGGCACAGGGACCAAATGAAACTCACATAACAAAAGCTTTGGGATAAAAGTCTCTTAAAGCAAGTGATCGTTAAGTCTTAACCTCACCCACCGGCTTAACTGACATGTTTCCCTACATAGATGTAGCAGCTACTGCACAGAAGTGAACTTGATCATAACTTTACTTCTTGAAGTAGACGTTATCCTCCTCCCAAAACCAGGTGTAGGTCAGGTTGCCAGGGTACGCCTCCGCTTGGCAGGTGAAGAGTGCATTCTGGGATATGTTGACAGTGACGTTTTCTGGTGGTGACACGATGTATGGAGGCCCTGGGAGAAACAAGAAATGTGTATTTTAGTTTGGTGAGTATATGGAACAGCTCAGTCTTCTGTTTCAACTCTTTCGTAAACACACTCAAATGTTATTCTTTTTCATGTTAGGAAGGGGAGGGTGAGGTGAGGGGGGTTCAGCTGCAACATGCAAATTCACCACTAAATTCTACACACTGAACCTTTAAAGGGATGAACATTATTATTATTAAATTCTATTAAACCATGAGGACTTCACTGTTTCCACTTGGGGAATGTAAACTTTGACATACTGAGTGAGAACGTGTGCACACTATGTATTATTTACAATCTATCACAGTAGCGTGATGTAAAATACAGTGAGCAGGCAGATATCATTACTTTAACAGTAGTCAGTGTTGAAGCGTATGCGTGCTTCACATTGTAACCTCCTCATCCCCGAGGTTCTCTAGGTTTGCTCTTAACTCTCAATAAAACAGCAGAAGCCATGAAAGGTAAGCTGTCTTTTATGAGTGGGCCCAGATACAAGCCTCCTGGTTATTTTCCTCTCAGCGTGCACAGCTTTATACAGAACATGAGATGGGACTGCTGACTGCACCGTGCGGGTGTCTCACATAACAATTAAAAACAGATCACTGCAGTGAGATTCCTGACTCCAAAGAAATCTGCATGTTATTGCTCTGGGTACGAGTCCTAATCAAATCTTCCTTCTTTTTTTTCACAGCACTTCTCATGCCAATATCCAACCAAACACAACATCAGGATAAACGTTTTAGTTTCACTGCTACACTCTGCCTTTCTATCGTTACTCAAGTGTAAATAGTCAGAAGATTTAATGAGGTCAAAGTTAAAACGATGTGCACTCAGTGGTGTAGCATATTTAATACTGATATTACGCTGGTTTAATATGACAGAGGTTAATGAGGTAAATACAGTGGCTAATGATAAAACATCAGCGTTAGTGTCAAATGCAATATTTTATCTGTTCTATCAGCCTGTTTCTTAAAAAGCCAGTTTGTGACACCAAACGTATTAGTCTAGTTACGGTTTAATCTGATCTTTTGAGAATGAGGATGGAATATTACAATAAAAATGAATTAACTTTAAAAAGAAAAAGTTATATTGTCTGACTAAAGCTAAAAATGTGAGAGAAAACTTCTCTGTCTTACATAAACTATTTATTGCATAGTTTTTTTCTGCCCAAATACTACACCCAATCACCCAAACCTCCTATCAATAATAATTCTAGAAAGATATTTTTATGAAAATTGTTTTTTAAATTGTTAATGTGAGGTTTTCCTCTGTGTTTTAGCAGAACAGACAAGGAGCATAATGCTGTTTTTATATATGATGGAGGCACTTTCATCTGCACTTTCATCACATGCACCACCGGTTACACTCTGTACTTTCTCAATGATGTCTTAATGCATGTCTGCAGCGTGTGTGCACATACATTCACTCCAGTGGGAACAAAGAGAAGAGTCATTCCTTTGCTCTGTTTCCAGAAGTCAAGGATTAAAATACTCCATCTCTGCCGTAGAAGCAAGGCGCTGCGTAGCTTGTTAAATACTCACTGTTGTCCTGCTGTACCAGGAGACTGAGAGAGCTGAGGGCTGGTATCGCAACCATCTATCTGATCTGTGTCTAGCAGAGAGCCTAATGGACCGGAGAGAGACAGTGACGTGCTCACAGACAGATCCTGTTGTACACACATGGCTGTGCACAAGAGCCGAGGCCCCCAGACTGAGCTATTGACTGACTGATACAGACCCACAAGGTGTGTTCCATGCATCAGTAGGCTACACCATTGACTTACATGGCTTTGCTTTTTGATGCTACCTCAGAAGACGCCTTTAAGTTTTAAATAATGTAACATGAGTGGTGCAAATGCAATATAAGGCTGCAGGTAGTGAGTGGGAAACATATTTTTACATATTTCTAGATCTGGTCATCCATGCAAATACATGTATGAACAGTGCTTACTGGTGAGTTGCTTTGTCGAGGCCGTGTGTAGCACAGTGCTCACGGGATGGATACAGTACCTTGAACCAGCAGACGGGTGGTGTGGAGCACTTCTCCGTGGTCACTGTAGGCTCGGCACGTGTACGCCCCTCTGTCATCTCTGGTGATGCCAAGGATGGTTAGACTGCCATCGTGTACCTGTGGTCACATGTGCAGGAGACAGATAAACCTCTAACACAAAACACCAAGATAACGTGATAAGCACATTTGCTGCATTGTATGCTCCAGGTTGTAAATGACAGTGGTGCAGGGAAGTGCTCCGATTAGAGGTTCGACAATTCGTTGACTAACTGATCATTGATCGAGAGAAAATCATAATTGAATAGATTTCAAATCATCAACATTGGAGAAGCAACTGTGCGAGTTAATCAGTGATCAAAATCACTGCAGAGAGTCCAATCTTACAAAAAACAAATCTGACACTTAAAAGTCATGAATGTCACATTTTGATCAACTCCAGGTCTGATTCCTGCATGTGGTAACCGTGGAAACGTCAAACTCAATGTTGCTGCACGGCTGCGTCCAGGCACTGATGAGAACCAATAAGTGGTGAAGAAACACATTAACCAAACCTAATAGAAACACCCTCATAAATTATGCAACAGGTTTGCCAGAGGCTCTGTCCATTCAAGTCACACACAGCTGTAGTCTGTCCATTCATGCAGCCGAGGGAGAATCTGCTTTGCCTGCAGAATTATTGCTATTCATCTGTCCCTCAAGTGTTTTACAGCTTTTGGCAAACTTCATCATCGTCACTCACATTGTCTATCACAAGATAACACTTTGTGTATCACTGCTGCAGTACACAGGATGTGTGGGATGCTGAGAGCTAGACACTGACGTGTCCTAAAGCATGAGTTGGAGGCTTGGCCAGCCAATTGCATTGATTAAAAAGTTGGAAGAGATTAAATCAATAAGATGTTGATTAAAATTATCATTATTTTAATCACACTTGTGCTGATTTGGCATATTTTCTATTCCTGTGCTGCCTCCTTCGTGTACCTCTAACTTTTACCAGTCATTTGAGGCATTTTGTTATGATAAATCAAATATAATCATGAAATATGTAAAAATAAATGTCATTGTTTGTCATTTTCTCATTGATTGCTGTGGACTCTTAGATGTAGAACTGTAAATGTGTGAATTTGCTTTGTGTCATTTGCAGGAATTTGATCTGGAGGTCTTCCAGTGAACGAGCACGCTGCACAACAAAGTTCACCTTCATTCATTTTCTATGGGACAAATCACTTAGCAAGGCATTGTGGGATTTCAGGTGGTATGGGACTAACCAGTGACGTGAATGAGACGACGGGTCAAAAGTTGACAAATTATCATCATCCTTACAGTATGAGTGTGAAATTCACCTGGTCGTAATAGTTTAATCTTTTCCTGCTGTGGATACATCGCTATGAAAGTGATGAATCCCTCTTCTATAAAGCAGTCGTCCCCAGCTAATGAGCAAGGTACTTGTGATATTATGCAAGTGTGCATGGGAGTGAACAGAAGTGTATTTATCCACCAGAAACTATTTTAATTTCTGCAAAGTTTTCTCTCAAGTCATGTTGCACCCAATCTATCAAAATCAAAAAATCAACACACGATTGTAGATGTAAATTTTGCAGGATGCCTCAACACATAATGGTCATCGATACATGCCGGGCTGTGGATGAACTTGATCCAAGGTGAAGGAGAAAAGATTAAACAAAAGGAGGAAATCTGCAGGAGATGAGGAAAAAGGGACAGGATCCGTATAGAGGAGGTGGGATATGAGATGAAAGCAGAATCTCAATCTCTGTGACACATCCACAGAGACCGACAGGCGGTTCTGAAACAGCAGGAGCTTTCTGTCGTTTTCCTGCTTGCCTTTTTTTTGTCTGTGATTTGCACTGTGGAGAAGAACCCTCATAATCTCCCCTCCTCCTTTTTGTCCTCTCCAGCACAACCGTTTTATTTAATATCGCTGTTTTGTAGCTACAGCTCTGCATAACGACGTAAAGAGAGGAGGAGGAGGAGGAGGAGGAGGAGGAGGAGGAGGAGTGCTCATCTCTCTAACCCTGTCTGTCACATTCCCCCTTTTCTCCATGACGTCTCCATGGATCTGAGCATGCGGGTGAGCAAATAAACTCACACACACACTCACCCCTCGTCTCACCACATGAAGGAGCTTTCCCAGGTTTGATGTCTGGTAAACAGAAGAGAGCCGAAAAAAGCTGAGCTGCTTTTCTAAATATTTTTCAGAACCTCGCGATGATGCTAGTGAAGCGTGGCATTTGGCTCGCACTGATTTTCATCTTTAATGTAACATTTATATTAGCCCTAATGTAATATTGATGCAGGGAATTAATAATGCATCAGAATGTTGTCTAATCATTTACTGAGGGGATGACGGAGGAAGAGATCCTAGAGGAGGAATAAGGGAAAATTAAAAGAAAAAAGGGGGAAGATGCCGTTAACAGACACTCGTGTATGATCCTGTCACTTCCTGTTCATTGTATCACACCGGCAGCAGTAAAGATTTGATAGCCCCTGCAGCAGTCTGCCATATCAGTGACATAGGCCGACATGAAGGCATGTGGGAAAGGAAGGAGGCATCCACCTTTTAAAAGGTCCCACCTTTCAAAATCAATTATGAGCTGCATGAGAGACGCTCTTTAATTCTCTTATACTAGAACCAACAACCTGTTATGTTAAAGAAAACATTCTGGTTCTTTTTGTAATGAGCTGCTGTGATTTCACCTTGAGCTCCCTCACCTACGTCTGATTTCTTTTTCTTCAGAGATTGACTGACAACTAAATTCCCAGGTGGGAGCGTGTTGCATTCAGCCGTCATGTAGGAGGAGAGAGTACGTGTGATGGTATATTGAGCAAACTTGAAGAAAAAGTGAGATTTGCACTTTTTTCTCAAGATGCTTAAGCCTGTGGCTGCAGTGCATCGTCTTTTATCGAAGTGATTGGTGATTCCAAGTCATCTGCGTTGGAACGATGCGAGAAATGTGTGATTCTCTAACCGTAAATAAAACTAGTGTTGATGGTTTATGTAGCCGAGACGTGTCTCTGCTTTCAAACAACCCAGAGGCTGCAGCAGAAATATCTTTTCATGACATCAGGCTGTCTACGTTTGGGAGTTTATCCACAGGACTAAAAATCAGACATTCCAAGACAACAAAGAGACGAGAGGTGTGCTTCCAGTAGTTCTTCTTAAAATAGTTCAGGTGATTCAACCTGTGTTTTGAGTGTTAAGCAGACAGATCACAGAGAAACACGAGGAAGCTGAGTGACAGTGTCGCAGACTGTGGTCCAAATGTCTGGCTCTTTGAACAGATTAAAAACACATTATTTCTCAGATATAAAAGAGTATTCCCAATAACCTTGTATATTCCTACACGTGAACCTATACTCCAACTTATTATCATCTATGCCAAACACTTTTAACACTATAGCATATATTGAGCCATTGACAGAGGACAAAACACTGGATATTTCTGCAGCACACCAACATAATAACTGGATATTTGCCTGAGTGAGAAATAGTCCATTACATACTTTGAGCACAGATGGACTCACTGGACGACACCATCTGTGCACAAGCCCCATGTCTATTTTTGCACACAATCATAAATCAGAATTATGGCCATTGTTTTGTCTTACTGAATATTTTGCATTGGTAGTGAGCTCCTCCCCCTCCCTCAGCCAGCTGATCATTGGTTTTGGGTTTCCCTGGGCAGAGCAGCTGAGCAGAGTGCTTCCCCCTTCCTTCGCCTCCACATACTGTGGCGGCGTCGCTGTAAATGAAGGCGGGGCTGTGGAGAAAGTGAAAAGGGAACAGTTGTCAATATCACCATAAATGTTTATGAAATTTAAACAGAAACAACAATCATAACAATTGCATTAAAATCTGTGAAAGAGTTTCCGATTTCAGACTCTTTGGGATTTTAAGCCTGGCTTCGATGATGTCCACCATCTTGGTCTGGAATGAAATATCCCGACAACCTGCATTAACATTACATTTTCTACATTCCAGGTTCCCAAATGAAAAATGACAAAGCTGACTCCACAACTTTTAATCTAGCGCCACCATGAGGCAAAACCTTTAATTTGTCCAATACTTTCCCAGCATCCTCAGAAATTGGATACGTCATTACATGCTTTTATTCTGAAATCAGCTGGAAAACATGGTAAATATCATACCGGTGCCAAAGTACACCCTCACAGAGCTGCAAGCATGACTGTAGACATGATATAACATATGAAGTATTTCTTAGATTAAAACAACATACTCTCAGAGGCCAAAGTACATTTAATAACTGCAACTCAGTGCAGTCAGACACATAAGTCTTGCAGACATAATGTTTAGTTTGTACAGGTGTTGCTTCAATTGTACTGCTCATCTGAAGGGCTGCAGTCTGTGGTGCTGTCAATCTGTGTTATGAGAGGTGTATTCAATATTTTGTCCCAACCATTTATATCAACAAATTCAGATGAAATATTGAAACTCTTCTTGTTTAAGATATTCTACAAGATGTATTATTCTATGATCATTAAGTAAACTGAACATTATAACTGGTGGCCGACCAAAATTTCCGATATTTCAGAAATTCATCAGATCATCAAAGAGCCAGTCGTGACATCTGATTCCTCCACCACTCTGTGTGCACGACATGAAAAGCGACACACGACGGAGCTGAATTTCAGTCTGCATTAATGCGTACATCTCAGAAACTTTGGTCAAAAACAGTCACAAATCGTACAGTGTAAGCCCAGTTTAACTGGATAGAAACAACAGTGCTTGCAAAACAGTGTGTCAGATATGCTGCTTCCACAGTTTTGTGTCCCGGTTGGACAATGGACATTAGCCAGGGCTAGTGACAATCTGCCATTTATTTTTCAAACCCTAACAAGGCCACTTAGCGACATCACTGTGTCGCCACCTGATGTTTCTGAGCTTCACCAACGGCCTCAGGGGAGCTCTTCATCTCCTACTGCAGGCAAACAAGCTGCAGGTTCCTCAGCCGGCTGCTGTTTCAACATTGCATTCTGATTATAAATAGTGGCACCGTGTTTAGTCGAAGAGAAAAAAGGTGCCGTACACAAGTGGGTCACTGCACGCTGCTGGGAGCGATGTGGCTGCACACAAACACCTGGTATGGAGTCATCAAATCGGCCAATTAGCACATTTAGACATCTGCCTGTCCACACTGCCCTCTCCCTCATTTTACATTATATGATACATTACGTTAATGGAGAGCCTAATAAAATGCATGACTGGTTTATGTACCTCTCACCAACATATTTGATGGGTCAATGGTCACAGTCAACACATCATGATATTTCACTTGAGTTATTAAGAGGCAACTTAGTTCAGATGTTTCACTTTGTTTGTGCTTTTATCCTAATAAGTTTATGTCGGAGCTGCTTATTCCTGCATCCACACGAGTCAGTTCTACTCTAATACATTTATTCAAGTACTTCACTTAAGAACAGTTTTATGGTATTTATATTTATTTGCTACTTGCCACTTCTACAATACAATTCAGAATATAATATTGTAATTTTTACTCCACTACTAGACTTCAAGTAATTTTTTCTGTGAAAATTTTGAATACATAAAAATATCAGTGTGTAGTTGTGATTCTGTCATATTCCAGATGTCTGTGAGTTGTCAGCATTTCCCCTCTTCACTTCTCACATGGTTTCATATGTTTGAGGCCCAAAAAAGGTAAAATGATCCAATATTTCTCAAGTAAATCCAAGAAAGGCCGAATCAAGGGCGATGCGGTTGTAGATAATTTTGAATGTTTCACCTCTCTTCATATCTGAAGCAGCCTCTTCAGTGATCTGAAGCAGCCTCTTGGACGAGAGGTGAAACGTCTTCAAGTATCTATGACCAAGTCCAGTTGCCCTTGATTCAACCTTTTTTAAACAACCATGACCTGGATGACTGAGAATCTTCACAGACATTTTGAAATACATGTATGTCATATGTAAATAAAGCAAACATTTGTAAAACATGTTACGAAAAAAACATAATGTTGCATTTGAACTTAAATGTTGAAGCTGGGTTCAGTTCAGTTACTCTGATTAATGCTGGGTAGCCTATAAATGTAAAGTCTAACCTTGTCTTTAATTTATTTGCTACTTATTTCTATTATTAATCTGAATCTTAAATGTGCCTTTACATTTCCAAATAAATATAGTGCAGTTAAGTGTATGTAGCAGCAGAGAATAGAAATACTCATATTATACTTGAGTACCATACAGTACTTTTCCACCACTGCTTTGACTTGAGGATCTGCGTCTTTTAAGTGCCTTTGTTAATTCTAATGCTAATTTAGATTTTGCTGCAGGGATTAAGCATCAGCTGACAAGAAATAGGTGGCACACGCGGCGGTGACGGCAGCAGGAACATTGGACAACCTGGGAGTTGTCTCACATGGTCGGGTGCATCTCATCACTGAAGAAGTATCGCTGTGGCTGGGAAACCTCTGGGAAAAAGCTGAGCGTCAAATTGTCGCCCTACTTACTGGAACTCTTCATCAATTATATGCATTAAAAGATGCTTGAAGATGCTGCGCTCACACCGCTCCTCTCCGTGGACCACACAATACTGCAGGTTTACGTTCGCCGTTATTTACTCAACAACTCAAGAGCTGCTGCATCATTTTATCTGTTGTTGTCTTGTCTCTGCTCCTGAGAGAGCCCGGCTACATATAGGACACATTTTCATTGATTTCTCATCATCAGCCTCAAACATTTCAGTGGAACTTCTTACAAAAGATGTTGGAATACACACAAATCTTGCATCCAAACTCCCATCCCCTCTTTCTTTTATGGCAGGATCAGGCTACGTCATATTGTCTTTTTGTGACATCAGGTGAGTCTTGTCGTGACTTGGTTGACAGATATGAAGACATGTTGGATGTGGACTTATCACAAATTGCCGTTTAACTTCACTGTTCCACTTAAAACAACTATGAATTTTAGCAGTAAAGGTGGGGCCTGCTCTTTTCTACTGAAGGAGGAAGTATTCAGTAGCAATAATACAATACTCTGAACATATTACTTTCAAATTAAACGTCCTGCATTGGCAATCTTACTCAGATAGTAATTATAATCAGCAAAAAATACTCAACAGAGATTAAAAAAAAAGCCCGTTACTATTATTTTGTAACATGTAATTATTATGACTCACACAATGATGCAATCAACTGTCTATTAACATGAGATTACAAAATAATAATTATTTTCATCATGGGTTTATCTTCTGATGATATTTCAGATTATCACCACCACCACCACTATTTGACAGTTTAAATCTGTAAATTATTATAGAATAAATAAACTAAATTAAACAATTATAAGGAAAATAGTAAGCTGGACATTCAGAATTTACCTCAGGATGTGTCTGTGCACCTTGACATCAGTGTCAGGTTTAGATACAGAAAAAACAGAGCACACTTTTGACTTGTTATGTTGTACAGACTTGAAAATATATATTAAGGCTGTTAAATTACTATTAAAATGTTGCCCATTTGCCTAAGTAGGCCACACATTTTTTTCTAATGGAATGAGCTTTCATTCTATGTGAGCATTATTTAAATTTACACCATAGGGTCCCATGTGGTCCTGAGGGCTCCACTTGTGGCCACATCGGGCCCATTAGTGTGGAATATACGGAGCTGCTGGAAAAATGAGCTGACATTTGAGCACCAACTGGGTCAACCAAATGGGACCTAAATGCCAGACCATCAGTAACCCAGTGACACAGTGGCAGGCTTTAATCTTTTATGTCTCAGTGCGAGATAGTTAACGCAGCCGTGTGATGTTTATAGTTTTTGATCTCTGAAAAGGCTGCTGATGCTTGAGAAGTAAAGAGAAGAAGGAAGGACAGGGGAGACGAGAGTAAAGAGGAGAGGAGGAGAAGGAGGGAGGGCAGAGAGAGAGAGAGAGAGAGAGAAGCCTTAGTGTCTTTTTCGGGCACAAGGCCTTGCCATCTGACACCTGCCACTGAGTGGGCATGAATTCCCTGTCCACTTGGCAGGAAGTGAAGGCCAGCAAACAGGAACTCAAAGGAGGAGTGTGTGCAAATACCAACGGCCAAAGGAAATGGGTGCCCTTAGTGTCTGTGTGCAGGCCAGACAAAAATGGCACCTGCTTCCCTCACAGGCAGCCATTTAGAGGACGACAGTAGCATAAAGTCTTATATATGAATTCCCCTGTTCTACGACTAGACGCTGAAACAACTGCTGCTATTGATATTTCCACAAATGTCTGTCTTTTATTCAAATGATGCACCCAGAAAAAACTGAATCGTTGTAAAATTACAAGCCGCACAAGACTGGCGCTGCAGCTCGTTCGCTACACGTTAAATACAAGAGGTCTTGTAAAATGCCATAATTAAAAATGCCAAATACATATATGACACTCAGGGATATTATTAGTTCTCCTCCAGCCTGAAGAGCTCGGTGTCTGATGAAAGGCCTGACAGGAGTGAGAGCAGCAGAGGAGGGAGGAAGGGAGCAGTTGGAGTTAAGAGAGAATACTGATGAGGCGGGCTACAGAGATGCAGTATGCCTACACAACAAGACATTCATACACACAAACACACACACACACAGCCACAGACGCTCACAACTCCAAACATCACGAGAGTGTGCAGGTGACACTTGGCGGCAGAGTACGACCTATTCACTCCCCATCTACAACTTCAACCAGCAGACAGAGATCTCATTTAGGAACACACACGGACACACACACACACACAGAGAGATGCTTACATGTCAACGTTGATGTAATGCGCTACACGCAGAACAAATGTGCACAAGTAATTTGCAGTGTGTGACTGACTAACTCACCCCGACACACAATTGCGCACAAAAGAAAACATAATGTTCCGCATTGATAATAACCATTTATACAGATCAGCATTTTTTATTCCAAAGTGATTATGCGGTGCAATGGACTTTATAAATGGTTCCTTACGCAGTATTTTGCATACAGCGCGTTGTAATCATTATTCAAATACGAGAATCGCTTCCATTGTCAAACATATGCATCAAATCGAATATGCATGAGTTTTTGCACAGCGCTCATAAGTTCACAGACCAAAAATATACATGAGAATGAGCTTGACAGCACTTTGCTCTCTCTCTCTGACAACACAGAGGATTACAGCTTTCTGAAGTTAGAGACCTGTGAAGCTTCTTTTTGAAAGGACATATTTCAACACTCATGTTACAGACAACACGAATAAAATGGTTCCACAAAACTAAACATATTACTACTTGACATGGATCTGCTGCATTTACTTTACTGCATCTTGGACATGCAAACAGCGAAGCATTCATTCAATTGCATTTCCTGCAAAACATATGAAGCGGCTTAATATAATATCTGTCTGAAAAGCATTCTTTACATGAAACAGACACAGAGCTAAAACAGTTACAACACAATGGTACCACTGTCTCTGTCACACTTTACACAGGATTATTTGAGCCACTGGGGCATTCCTGGGAAATGCAAAGGTGCAGTTTTTTTTTTTTTTCCTTCTTTTTCCGCCTGGTCATCAGTTTGATTGCTCTCAGACTATCACAGACGATCCCTGCCAAACGGCCAAGGGAAACAGGCCACAATCAATTTTCCTCTAACCAGACTCTCATCCTGTTTTACCCGAGGACTCATTGAAAAAGAAGCTGCAGCAGTGATCCGAAACAGCATCAATGAATCAACTCATTTTTTCCGCTCTAGATGTTTAATATAACAATTTAAGGAAATGTTGCACTAATTATTAAAATAACAATATTACATCTTCCTTTTCAGCATGTTTAAGCTAACACATTATAAGGGAGTTCAAATAGGGAGTTAGAGTAGAAATATATAGAATCAGTCAACAATTACAACTACAGGAGGAAGCCATGCAGTATTTTATATAATTGCTTAACTAGATTATGAATCATTGTCTGTTTATACATCAGCCAACACTCACTAATGTGTTATTGTTGTTGACAAATATATTGATAGACAGTTGTAGCTGCTCACAGCTACAAAAAGCACAGTCACGATTTAAACTAGAACCAAAGTTAGGATGAGAAACAGACATGGACATTATCACAGCATGAACAAAAGTGTATGATCTGCAATTCTGTCGCAAAAATGTCAGAAAAACAACTAGAATGTCACTTGGAGGAGCGCATACCTCCGTGATCAGTTCCCTTATGAATCCACATGTAAATTCACTAGATCCAGATTTTCATTTGGATCCGCACCAAATTATATATCAAATACTCATAGATATCAGGGAATAAAACCGCCGGATGTTTTTTCATCAAGATCCATAAATTATTCTCTGAGAAATCAACCAAAATGTTGAAAAACACTCTCACACTTTTAAAGAAAGTGAAAATAACAAATCCTGGATCCGCCCAAAAGTGCTCTGGTTGCAAAAGGTTTTTGCGGAGTCCTGCTAACAATCCAACAAACTGCAGTGAAAACGTGACGTCCTTGGCGGAGGCAAAGAGTACAAGAAATTAAATGTAAATGTAAAAAGTGAAATCCTGTAACATGTGCAGCACTAAAGGCTCTTTACTGAGGGGCTGAACATATGATTATCATCAGACCCTTTTGAACAAACTCCGGATTAATACAAATGGAGCTTAAATATGGGACAAAGTAAGTTATTTTTGTCTCTCTTTTTCCATTTACACCCACACATACACATACAGTATTCCCACGTCAGAGCACAGCCTGTATGATCAAGTGACTCACCATTGACTGTGAGGTGCACCCAGCTGCCGTTGTGGAAGGTGTCGTACTGTTGCTCCAGCATCAGGACCCTGCACTCGTACCAGCCCTGGTCCTCGGAGCGCACTGGGTCAATCTGCAGGGAGGCCTTCCCATGCAGAGAGGCTCTACCTGCACATGAAGGGAAAGAGAAAATAATGACGCCAGGACTAACCTCCACAGCACAATGTATTTAGCGTTTTCTGCTTTTCATGACAAATGCATGCTCTTTTCTCAGCGATGGTCAGCTCCTCCATTTGAACTCACACCTTGTAGTTCTGCTGGTCACCACAGAGATCCATTATAGCAGATGGGGGCTAAGTGCTCCACTTCAACCTTTGTTTTTTTTTTGTTTTTACAGTAGCCTGTAAGTCATGGTGTAGTATTTTTGAGCAGGATCAGGAAATTAAGAAACTGTTGATGTGATTTAAAGATCGTACAGTATATTCTTTCACTGAGAATTGTTTGTATTAGGTGCAACATAAATCTCATGTTTTCCCCTTTCTCTGAAAATAATCCATGAACTCAGACTTTGAACTAAAAGTTATTAAAATAAGCACAAGCCCAAGGCAGAAAGTTCAAGTGGCGTGTGACAAACAAATTGTTTTTACCAACTTATTCCTGTTCAGGGAGAAAACCCTTCTGCAGTTTGTCTAGCATTCACTTATTGTGAATTCATATCTTCAGAGCCTTCAACCAACCTGACTTACAATGTTGGAGGAAACTCAAATGGATTTTAAACACAATACAGACTCTAGATACGCCACAAACTCAAAGAATAATTAATGAAAAGAAAATTTGTGGATAAACAGTTTTGAAATTTTTCTATTTGAGAAAAAAATCCACATCCCTCTCATGCCTATTTCCTGACTATAAAGAAACAGCAAGCATATAGCTAGCTTGTGGTCAAACGTTGGATTGTACAGATTAAACTAACATGATACTCTACATGTGTATTTTTATCTTTTGAGCTTTAGAAGTGAGACAGAAGCATCTTAGACATTTCCATCCGTTTTCTTTGTTTTATAGGAGAAATAATATTCTCATATTCAGGTTCCTAAATTTAATTTGGGTTCTTATTTGAAAAGGCTCTACATGCTCTAATGTTCAGAAAACATCAGTTTCCTATTACTGTTTATTGCTGCAGCTAGGAAGCAGAAATACTTGGTTTTAGCTCCTGTCTCTTTAAGGCCCCCCTCTTGATAAAGCCCAGCCTGTTCTGATTGGCCAGCTCGTGCACTCTGTTGTGATTGGTCAACTGCTTCCAGCATGTGTAGGAAATGTTGGCCTCAGCTATTGCTTTACCTGGCGTTGGTGAAGGGTGTGCCAGACTAGTAACTAGCTAGCAGCACAGGGTACATTATTTGCATAATGCCCTCCAGCTCACACATATGTGGTATTGTGATGTCACATTACATCACATCCAAGAAACAAACAGGAGGAAAGAAAAAAAAACTAAATAACCATAACATGTCTTAATTGCTTCAATGAGCCAATTTCTGAAAATATCAAACAAATCCCTTTTTGTAAAACTGCATCTTGTCATTTTTTGCTTAAATTAAATTAACAACAAATATTGTGTGAGTCAGCTTCAGACTGACCGTTTCCCTTGGTGTCTACTCATTTTAACAAGCAAAGTAATCAGCTGCCGGCAGTAGCTTAGTGAATAAACAGTTTGATTAACTTTAATAATCTTTCACCTCAAATGATCAAGAATCTAGCTCAAAGTGTTAATATTTATGCATCAAACTACCTGCGAGCCATATCAGTATTAAAAAAGTTCAGTGTGCTTGTGGAGAGGGACCCGAAATCTCCTTCACAGAAATCCTCCATTTCTTATAAAACTTCTCCATCCACGCCTTTTTCTACTTCAAGGCTGAGGATAAATTGGAATTCTAAAAGGAGGAAATCACCAGGGAAGAGAGAAGTTCTGGAACCAGGCCTGGTGAAATCTTCTGCTGCTAAGCTGTCTGTCTTCAAGCCTGCAGCCCGCTGCTCACATGGCTGCCTCTGACAGCCCGACAGACTAAAACACTCGCTTCTGCTCCGTCTGACGAGTGTTCTCGAATGAAGCATTTTTCCCAACTTTGATGTGTAGATGTACTGTAAGCGCTGCTTCCTGTTACTTCAGACTGAGTGTCAGGCAAATATATTGATGCTGAGGGTGGGATTAGTTGCTCCACCATCACTGTATATAAATTGGAGGGATAGATACCCCAACCCTGGGAGTGCTACCATAGTTGGGGTAAGAACACTGATGTTTTTTTGGTATAAGAAAATCGATACAGCCAAGAGGAAGCACGAGGGGAGTGGGGACTGCAGTCTTGCAGTAAAAAGGTAGCTTGTCTGTAAAAAGTCAGGTCTATTCTTGCCTGGGCATTGAAGTGCTGAGTGGGGTGGGTAGCGGCGTGAAGGGTAGGGATCAGCCTCCCATTTGTCAAGAATTGAGAAGGTGCAGCTGTAAACGGAGTTAACAGCACTGTATCCACGTCAGGACCGCTCTCCTGGGCATACACCACTTACACAGTACAGGGTTCTGTCAACTGTGAAAACAGACGAGCTAACACCTTGTTCAGATGACATCATGGGCTTTGTCAGACGAGAGAGCTTCGGAAATGAAAAACTAAAGATCCAAAGTGACAGAGTTGGCAGACACGGTGCACTGCTGCAACTTTTAATGCCAAAGAGCCAAGATTAGAACGAGGAAAAAAAATATTCAAGAATAGCACCACTGTAATTAAAGTGATAACAGTTAAACATTTTTTACACTTTTTCATCCTGTGTGATTGTAGGACATTTTGAATTGTCTTTACAGGAAAAAACCTTACACAGGTTAAATAACAGAAACATGGTAACAGGCCATTTGCCAATTATTCCCTCATACTAATGAATTTTCAGTGAGCATTAAATTGAGATTTCAGACACTTTTAAATCATCTTTTCGCCTTATAACATTACATTGCAAATTTCAAATGATATAAATGATATAAAACATGAGGCATTGTGTTGTGAAATCCCAACAACATTGACCACAACCAAACTATAATCTCATCATTATTGAGTCCAAGTGAACCTTTGTACAAAATTTGAAGAAATCCCTTCATGACATTCTGGAGGTATCACGTTCACAAGAGTGGGACAGAGAAGCGAATGGAAGGACAACCTGAGAACATAAAACCTTGGGCTGCAGCTCTCACCAGCGCAGAGTGTGTAAAAACGTGGCATTTTACAACGATACCCAACATCCTCCTGATAGTAGGAAAAGTGTCTCAGATCAGGATAAAAACATTTCCTATGCACGCTGTGTATGCTGAAGCTATGATTTCCAACAGCAAGTCCCAAAGCGGGAGAATCTGACACTAAAATTTCACAAACTGCACGTCTGAATTATTGAGCATGCTTTTGCCTGAGTGGGCACCAAAATAGATGTTTTTAAATGTTGTAATTTCCATATAGCTGCAGGACAAACTGGAAAACGATCCCGGATAGATTTTAGTCTATGTGGAGAGACGGCGTGCACCACTTCTCATTAAGCAGTGAATTAGACAGGGAAATACACAACGGCAATGAATGGAAGATTGATCCTCTTACATATTAAACTGTAGCATTCTAAATTATTAGTGAAACCAAACATTTGTCACTGACTTAGTCAAACTAATGGTGTAAGTGGAGGGATTTAATATCAATGGAATTTAAAAATTCTGCACTTACATATAAATACAGTATTCATGGTGAATCTGCTTTACTGTGGGAGCCACTGTGTGATTGTATCACAGCATAATTACTTTATCGCTAACTGTTTTCATACTGAGTGATAACAATTCATAGGACCAGCCCAAATGACATATTACAGATATATTAAGCTCCTAAAAGAGCATTTCAGAAACCACAGTCCAGTGTCATTATCACACTGTCACCATGCACATGCAATCCCTGAAATACACTTTAATTTCTGTAATGAGACTGACCATATTTGTGTTGCATCTGTTCAGTGGTAATTCCTCAACGGCGGACCTGACAGCCTATGGCAGCGGCCCACTGCTCGCCCGAGTGAGCGCAACGGAGTGTGATGCTGTTTGAAAAGTGCCGGTCACCTGTACCCTGCTGTTAGTCAGGAGGTTAAAGTAAACAATGAAACGCTCCAGCAGCTCCAGAATCTACAGTAGCCACTACAAAACAAAAAAGGAGGGTTCCCCAGACAGTGAGTCACTGCCATTAGGCTCATCTGCAGCGATGACCTTGTGAGGAAAAAGCCCACAGGGGAGGAATTTCAGCGAATTCAATATTATTCACACTTGATCCCTATTTATAAATACAGAGAAATCTGTTATGACCACATGACGCTACCTCTAGGAAGATGAATCCCCCAGGTTTTTAGACAAGCCATGCTTTGCCTTTACTTCACAGTGTATTGCCGGGTCAGGCGGGGGTTTTGTGCTTGGAAAAGAGGTGCGAACAGAAAGGGATAATTCTGACCTCGTTTCCAACAGCTCGCCATCTTGTCACAGACACTGAAGCAACATCAGAAGAACCAATTTCCTGCTATGAGGAGTGTGAGCGAAGGCAGACGCAGACACACTGTCTGGGCCAGGAGACAGAGACTGGAAGGTTGTGTGATGTGGTGGCGAATGTGGCGAAAAATGCATATTTATTGTAATTAGAAACATTTAAGCCATCAATCTTCTCATCTAAAATATAAACTGTTTACGGCCTTTGTGGCCTTTGTCATTTAAAACAGTCTATACTATCTATAGTCCCTAAAACTTCAGTTAAAAGGAGACAGTAGTAGACAAATGTTTTTATATCGGCTCTGATTGGAAAATCACACCCAGATAAACGCCCAAATATCTTCTTCTATTTTTGTCAGTCTAGACGCTGCATCTTTTCCAGTGTAATGTTATGACGTGCATTGAACTCCTGTATCCTTAAACACAACCCTGACATACACTCACTTGCCAGAGACATATTTCTGTTCTTTAGTCTGCCTTGGACGAAACATTGTCCAAATAGACCAAACAGTTAAAGCAACATCTCCTAAAGACAGTTTCAACAAAACCCTGATCATAATAACCCAAGTGTTAGATTAGGTGTATGTCATAAACTGGTTACTTAGTTGGCAAGTTGAATGAGTTGCTTGCTAATCTACGCAGCTCGCAGATACATCTTGTTTCAGGCCACCTGGTGAATCTCTGAGTTTCTGGAAACAGTTGTATGCTGTGGCCAAAAACTGAGCCCTTGCTCTTTGTGAGAACTGTTGGGTTTCTCTATAATTATATATGGTCTTGACCTTACTATGTTAAGAGCCTTGAGATAATGTAGGTTATGATTTGGCACTAAACTAATAAAATTGGATTGGAAAACTGAACCAAGAGCGGTGACCCTGAACCAAAACAGTGCTGATGCAGCCATAAAAACTAAAACAATGAACTGAGAGATGCTGTGAAGCCCCTCGGAGCTGGTGTGATCTGCAGAATCTGAATTTTTTAGGTGAAAAACAAAACAAGCACTAATTTGATACGTCTAATAATGGATTGCAAATTATTAAATAAAAGTTACCATCTTTCACATTTGTGTTATAATATATATATATACAGTATACATATAGTTAGTTAGTTAGTTAGTTAGTTACAGAGTATGTTGTTTTAGTACTCCTTTCTATTCTATATGGCCTATTTGTCTACTTTGTATCGGTCCTGTGGATTTACTGTACTTGCCAAATAAAAAGATCTTGCTCCTGATTCATCCTTAAATGGGTCAGATAAAAACTGCTTTTCACAGCATCTCTATATTCTTTCAGAGCTTGTTTAGCTACACTTATCTTACCAGTATACTCTGGATCCACATGAGGAGGGTAGAAGCGGAAGTTGATGAAGAAGGGAATAGGCACTCCAAACTTGAACCACTCCACCACATAGGGGGGTTGCTGGCCGTCCAGGGGAGGGGACACGTCACACCCCAGGATCACGCTCTCTCCAGCGCGAGCCGTCACAAACCGGGGCTCCTCTCTCACTGCGTGGGCACCTGAGATGAGAAGGAACACAGCTTTCAGTACAACATAGGAATGTTAATGTTCACCTCGAAGGGATCTGGACTCTGACATGTAGGACAACAAGAAATCCTGCAGACAAAGCAGAAGAATCTAATTGTATTCTAGACATCCAAGACTCATTTTCAAACAATAATTAAAGGTGATTGACTAAGGTAATGCACAATGGCTTAAAACTTCATTTTGCTTGAGATGCATTGAGTGCTCATGGCCCACAACAGGATCTCTGTGCAGACTCTGGATGGTCACCGCACACACGAGGAAAATGCTCTCACTTTTATCAGCTTTCCTCGTGGCTCCATCATCATCTGTCCCCTGCATCTGTTGGTGAGTGTTTTGTGGCTGTGCCATACTGTACAATAAATGAGCTGCCAAAGGGTTCCATTGATCATACTGGCTGCTGCTCAGATGAGCTTTACTATGAGCACCACCAGAACTGGCGTTTAGCCATGAATGTCCAGGCGCGCTGCCGAGCGTTGACCTATCAGATGACTGAAAGGTCGGCATACCTGCCTCAGCAGAACGCTCACTCTGGGAATGGATTTTCTCCAGCTGCCACCCCCGCTTTCATTGAACCGACTATCTCCACCGTCAGAGCAAGCATGACTGCCCGCCTCCGCCCAGAGGGAAAATCGCTTCAGGGATCAAGAGACATGCTGACGTTTCACTCCAGAGAAACACCAGCTGAATAACGTAACGCTTTCATTAGCAGTAACATTTGCATTATCAGGGCACATTTAAACAGGGAGAACAAACACGCTGGGAGTTGGAGGTATTAGGGCCTCAAACTGTGTTGGGGTGACCGTCGGTGGCAGCGTTGCTTCACGTTCCGCCACCATCACTGTTGTGTGAAATGGAAATTTCATGACTGCGAGCCCTGTGCCTTTTCAACTGTATCCACTGAAATTAAGACCAAAATATTTTCATCCAGTTCTCCTGTCTGAAAAATAAAGCTTCAACTCCATCCCTACAGGCCATATGCACAATCTATGAGGGATTGTGTTCACCAGTTTAATCTGCATTATCCTGTGACACAGTTAATCCACTTTACTCATTTTAACCAGCACCGATTCTGGATTGAAACTGGGCAGATTTAATCAAATTACACTTTGTAAAGTGGACATGTGGTTAGCCAGTTACAAGCCTCAGCCCTGGAATCTGCTTGTGCCTCCTTAGTAAGAAGGTAAAAGCAGCTATGCTATGCTACTGTGAGCTCAAATGAGCCACACAAACCAAGTGAAACACATGCACGACTCAGTGAACCCCACATGAGCATTGGACAGCCGCTGTAGCTCGTCAGTGTAGAGCAGCAGCAGAGAACGAGAAGCTGCACGAGTCCAAACACAATCGTAAAAGAGAATCGGCTTCCAACCAACCCACAGTGAATATTACAAGTGTAAAAGCTCATAGGAGGCAAATTGACAGCTACAAGCCACAGAGACAGTACATCAATGAAAAAAGTACACTACAAGCACTAATTTGGAACATCTAAATCACACCGGTAATAAAGCAGCATTTTTCATTAGAATGAAGCTGAGGGGGGAGTGTGTGTCTGATGAAACACAGTGCAGCCTGTCAGGACATGTGAAGATTTCTCATACTAAATGAGCATGGAGTTGATTGTTGCTTCAAGCTTCTGTGGGCATGGCGCTGCCCCTCAAACAGAACAAACCATGACCTTTTAATGCGCTTCTGCAGAAACCTGTCCCATGCTGTTATAAGCACAACAAATTCAGAAAACTGTTAAACTAATCCTTTCAGGCTTGCCAAAGGCCTGAAATTCACACCTGAGCACACTCCATTGCAGCCTCATTTATAACACCTTTAAAAACGATTACAATAACCCCTTTGAACAAGCAATACGCTGCTCGTGTTGACGCCAACATTATCTTAGACATTCTGTTAAGAATATAACAGAAAAAATGTGATCACTGAATTACAAACTGAAACGGTCTCATAGGAAAGGTTACACGTTTCAGGAAAACATGATTATTATCTTTGTCTTTGAAGCTAGAGCCTCCCAGCAACTCTAAATCCTTTTAATTGAGCGTTCTATCTCGATTGTTTACTTTGTACTTATGTATAATAACGTGAGATGATGGCAGGCAGATTTTTTTTAACCTTTAAACAAAAACAGGCTGGATGTTTCCAGCCTTTAAGCTAAGCTAAGCTAATTGTCTGCTGGGAGTAGCTTCTTTTTTTTCCTGTTCAGACTCTTGGTTGAGTTGAACATTGCTGCTTTAAATCTGATCATTTCAAAGTCTTTATCAAATGCTGAAATGCAATTCAAAAAATGATGAACTATTTGGACAGCTGAGGTTACAGCAAGACTTTTGATGTTTACTGGACATCTGGAAAAAGGTTTTATCCCATCGAAAATATATTTGCTGCAGACAGACCATGTTGCTTTGGCAGAGGAGGCCTTATGCACAGCCCAATGCAAAAAGGATAAAGTTAAGTAAACATGACGCAAGAATGCAAATCCAAAAGTGAGGCCGAGCAATAGAAATAGAGCTCAAACACACATATCACACCTAAGCATGAACTGAAAAAAAAATAGGTGCCACAGTTGCAGATTTTCAAGACTGGGGGCTTTGGATGACAAATTATGGCAGATACTCAGAGTTTGTCTTAACATTTACTGTACAGGGTCCAGCTCTTGTGGCTTTCAGGGGAAAAGTGCTCGCAGGCTCCCATCCATAATGAAACACACTGGACACATTGTTTGGTTTGAGTAAGTAGAGTCACTTGACATGAAACACAGGCTCAAATCCTGTGGCACAACAGTGACGGCGGCTGAAATCTATTGTATTCTCTGCAGACAGTTCAGGTTGCAGACGTTCATCGGCTCAGGTTTCTCACTGGCATTATTTTTGGATCCTGGGGGTGAAGGAAGCACGTCTTAGATAGAGAAGAGTCCTGAGATAATAAATCGGAGGGCTAATAATTCTCAAATTTCTTTATGAGATCCTCACAAAGAGAATCAGCACAATCTCAGGCACCGCTTTGAACTTTTTAATTTCCTTAATGGAAATGTGCAGTTTACGAGGGCTTATTCAGGCAAAATATTTATGTTCTCGACAAGACACATATGTGATAGAATCGTCCAAGCAGATCTTCCAATTAATCAGTTTTGTAGCTGTAAAGGGATCAATATAGGTTTAGAGATGGTGGCAACTCTGGATTGCTTTGGCACTGTAAACTTAAATCGAACTAAAGTTGCAGAGTGAAGAGTGAAACTCTCCAAAATACACAGAGGCAGAAATCTATTGAGTAAGATCTGGATAAATCAGGCAGCTAATAAGTTCAGGAGACCAATATGTTTTATGCATCTATCCCGGGCACACAGTAGATTTACTGCTATGATCATGAATTTCTGAAGTGTAACAATTCAGTCACTTGTTCGATAATTCCCATATTCAGCAGGTAGTACATGCACGAAAGCAATAATTCCTCATTGTTGGGCAAAGGTTAAACAGGCAGTGACACCGCAGGTTAGGAACAGGACTGCAACTAATGATTATTTTCATTGGTTTTCAATTTGATCTCTAAAATGCCAGAAAAGTGTTAAAAATTATTCTTGGTTTCCAAATGCTTTCACAAATCTTGTTTTTTCCAGCAGACAAAATCAAAGATGTTTAATTTACTATCACAAAAATAAAGTGATCCATTACTGTAAACTGTTTTGACCTATAAATTCCTCAGATCGTCTCTTAAAAATATTTTTGGGCAAAAGAAGTAAAACTAGCAGATGCTTTACTCAACAAACCCAATTCAGGACCGTCTTATCCACTGCTTGGGGCAGTCCACAGAGCTCTCACTTAAATTAAATGTACATGTGTAAAAACCAACAGGTTATTTTTCATTCTAAAACTCATTCCCTAGTTTGAAATCAGTTTCAATACAGCATTAATCTCACCTTTTTGTCACTAATGGGCTCATTGTTGGCACTTTGCAGTAATGATCTTATTACAACCTGGAATAACACAAAGACGTGAACGAGATGCCACAATATGGAATTTATTTGGACACAAAGTTGAGAACTTTGTATTTTCAAACAGTATTTTTCAGTTTTACAACAGAAAAGACTTCAAAGTGTCTTGTGTGCATCATGATGTAAACTTAACTTGTCACGGTTTCCTAGTTTTAGAGGAAGGACATTTTGCCTGAAAAATTACTTTGCGATTGATTGATTGTCAAAGTGATTACCAATTCTTTCTGTCAATTGACTTATCAATTACTTGACTTAACTAAACAAGTGAGAGTTTGGCTTTTGGAATATCTCACTCTCGATAACTGCAGTTATTATTTTTATCCACTAGGTGTTATAAAAATTGATAAAAAATAAAAGCAAATCACCAATATGAAGGAAAGTATCCAGAACTGAATGAAGCAGCCTTAGGAGAACGTTTACCGATACACATAATGTTATGTAACATAAACCAGAGTGAGACATCTGCTTGAGGTCAATCAGCAGCTGTCCAGACCGGCACATGAATCACTGCAGCAGAACCACGGGGGCATGTGAGGTTGAATCTGCAGGAGATTTCAACGCGTCGTTTTTTCAAGAGGCAGAGGATAAAAATGGCTCTTTCACAACATTGTACTGTGAGAAATGATCAGATTTGTACAGTAAATATACTCTGGAGGCAATTTTGGGCAATAATCAGGCAGAGCAGAGCTGGAGACATGTTTTGACACTAATGAGGTCCAATAACACATTGAACAATATTGAGGAAAAATATGAAAACTGAGGGAGTTCAACGAGGGACAGTTTTAGATGAGCACTGCTTGGATTGTCTGGTCCAGGGTGCTTAATTATTTTCTTTTGACGCCAGCGCAATATTTAACCCATTGCTAACTGCAGCAGGAGATTCTGCAAAGGATGCATGAAGAGCTGTGTGTGCGGATATGAGCGCCACTTTATGCTGGACAGAGTTCCCGATGTGGAGGATGTAATGGAATATAGACTGGACGGAGGCTGGAGAGAGTCTCAAGGACGTGCAGCCACTGGGCTGGATGGGCCACTGACAGGGCGGTAATTGAATGCCAGCCTGTGTGTGCTGAAGGTCACATAAGAGAATGGTCTGAGTGTGTCAGTGCGTGCGTGTGTTAATCTGGGTCTGTAAAATTCAAGTTCACTGCAGCTAAAGTACCACAGAATACAAAAACAGAATATGGAGTACAAACTGTATTTATACGTGTGTGTGTGTATTATGTTTTAAAAACTATTAATGTAGATATTATTTTACTACTGTTCTGTCTTTTATTAACTACTTTATTACTTCCACCAAGGAGCTTATGTTTTCATTGTCTGTGTTTTGTCTGTTATTCAGCAGGATCACACAAAAACTACGGGACAAATTTCCACGAGACTTAGTTGAAGGGTGTGATATGGGACAGGAAAGAACCCATTCAATTTTAGTGAGAATCCAGACCAGGGAGCGAATCCAGGAAATTTGTTTTAGCACTTTCTTTTTAATTGTGAAATAGGGCGTTATTCAACATTTTCATTGACTTCTCAGAGAATAGTTCATTGACCGTTATGTTATGTTAAGGGGACTGATATTTCAATGTGTGTGAAATCCGTTGAGTGAGTGATTGAATTTGAGGTGACTCACCCTTGGTGGCGTCTGCTCTACTGGGTGCCATTTGAATTTCTTAACTATTTTATTTTTGCCATGGAACATTGCAGCAAAAGGTTTTCCCACATTATTGAATAAACACGATTAGATGGTTCAGATTACTAATGCCCGAATGGAAACAAAAAAAAATTCACACAACATGCTTTAAAAATGTTTCCAGGGCTGAGTTTTAATTATAATCTTAGATACAAATGTCAGTGGGATTTAGACTCAGTTTTTCTTGCTTCTGGAACATGATCCAAAAGTTCAGGTTTCACTTCATCTCAATCTACTGGGACACCCAATCTGGCAGGCAAGGTAGAAGCTGCTTCTTATGAGATTGGCAAACAGCCTAATCTTTGTTGGTAATTTTCACATCTGCAGAGAAGAAACACACACACACACAGCTCCAAATATAATATAAAGTGACAGCGATCACTATGCACAACTACTCAGCAGCACTGCATTCATAACTAGTTCATAGTCCAAGTGTGAACCAAAACATTCAGCTCACAGTTGGCACAATAGTCTGCAGACCAGAGGGTATGTGCTTTCTGTCTAAATCTGCTGACCAGCGTGTGACAACGACTGCTGCTTTAACTTTTGCATGACAATCCGAGATAGATTGGCTCTCTTCATTATTTAGCTCTCTTTAATGGCAGAGGTCTCCGATCAGACAAGCAATGTTCAGTCAGGGATGTGCTGACACCTGCTCCAGCAAGGACAGAGAGACGGAAAGAGAGAGAGAGAGAGTGAAAGTGAGAGAGAGAGAAAGAGGGAGAAATAGGGAGCGAGATAGAGAGTGAGACAGAGAGAGATTGAGAGACATAGGGAGAGAGAGAGGGAGCAACAGAGACAGCCAGACAGAGATAGAGAGAGAGGGGGATGGAGGAAGAAAAGGAGACAGAGAGAGAGGGAGGGGGAGAGAGAAAGAGCGACAGAGAGAGAGGGAGGAGGAGAGAGAGTGAACAAAAGGGAGACTGAGAGAAAAGGAGGAGGAGAGACAGACAGAGAGAGAACGAAAGGGAGACAGGGGTAGGAAGAGAGAGATTGGGAGAAAAAAGGGGAGACAGAGAGAGAGCAGGAGGGAGAAGGAAAGGAGACGGAGAGAGGGAGGACGAGAGACAGACAAGAGAGATGTGTGAAATGGGCTGTGTTTGCCAGAGAAGGCTCAGAGGGCGAAGCAGCTCTGCGAAGCACAACTCTACAAGAGGTGCACTTTACAGGACATCTCTGCCACTAAAGTCACAGAACTTCCTCAGTCTCACTATAATTCAGTCATTTTTACATTCGATCAGGTTATTTTCATTGTTGAGTATTCATTGCACACACTCGAGCTTCAGCTCAGAGCAACGTAAGAGTGCTCAGTGTGGATTCAACACTTATCTCTGAAGATGTGCACTTCTGGCAGATGCATATATGTGTTTCCTCAGAATAGGAAAAAAAAAAAAAAAACACGGCAGATTCAGGATTGAAAAGATCCTTTCAGCAGCATGAAATGTCTTCCTGATTGAAGGTGGAGTAAATCTGGGGAGAAAATGGTGCTGATTTGAATCATTATATCAGGGTACAGAAGCTGCTGAATTACATTGAGAGGATTTATGGGTCTCATTTCAATACATTGGGAAAAAGTTTAGATTCAGAAGCATCGTTATTTTTGTTTGCCTGATTGTCTTTTGTTAGTTTTGTTACATTTCCAAATCATGTGGATTATTGTCAAAATTAAGCATATATAATGTTTCACACAATACAGGAACTCTCTCATCCATGTGTTAATGTAGACACATCTCCAGAAATCTACAAGCGCTGCAGCAAATAATCATATTAATCAGAATCTATTTTGATAGTTAAGTTACCCAATAATGTTTTTTTTTACCCAATAACGTCTTTCTTCATCATGTATAACAAACTGAATATATTTGAGTTTTGATCTGATGGTTTCATGAAACGTATATATGTTTCAAAATACAAAAAGTCTTTACACTGAAACGAACTGCTGCAAATCACCAGACGTTTGAGGATTTTGCACCTCTTCTTTTTTCAGGACTAGCAGGGTTATTCCAAAAATGTGCATGAAAATGTATGCCTGGACGAAAAGCATGTTAGCCTACAGACAGTGGAACATGTGGGATGTTTTAGGACTTGATTCATTGATTGATATAGCTCTGTATGATCTGCCTATACAGGAAGTACAGAACAGTCCGACAGCTCCTAATACAAAGAATTGACTAAACTGCTTCATCAGGTCACCTCTGACAGGACGGGAGGTGTTTTCTGGGACAGCATCCAGTCCTCCTCCAGGATGAATGACGACATCAGCCCTTTTTAAAAAACAGTTCAGCCTCTGTCAGCCTGTAGACCTTCATCCACCACCACCGCAGAGAACCATGGAAATTGATCCCTGGAATATGTAGACATTGTTCAAATTCAAAGACATTTGAGAAGATCAACTCTGCCTTCTCTAATGGAGGGCCTCGATATTATCAGATCAGCCTTTTCTCAACGATACCAGCGTCCATATCCTTATCTCCAACTCCCAACCCTGTATGATCAGGAGTCTGCGACTTTATCCCCAACACTTTACAAACTAATCCACTCCCCCAACAATGTCCAACAAGTCCTCATGAAATGTTCTACCAGCGTATGTTGCCCTTAAGGTTAGTTAGGCAACTGAAACTTCTCGGTTAAGCTTAAAAAAGATCACATTTACTTTAAAAAGAAACTGATGCTGAGGTCTGCTATCTAGGGAGATGGCATAGGTCCCATATTTTCCAGCAAATTTACCGGAAGATTAATTTTCCTATAAGTTAGTGGCTATTTACCTGTAAATTCCAAGTATATTTCCAACAAAGTCTTGTGCAGTTCAGAACTTATTATAAAGGAAATGAACTAAACCTTAGTTATTATTAAATGTATTAAATAAAGAATGAGCAGCTAGCCTACTTAACAACTTTAGACAGTGACACATTGTTCCTTTCTCTTATAATTATTATGCTTGGTTGTGTCATTTTTTTCCCAAGAAATATCCTTGTGATTAACATCTAAATTCCAGATCATTTCTTGGAAATGAGGAGAAGACTTTGCAGGAAATTGCAGGACCTGGAACATAAGGTGCTGCTGTGCAGAAGTGACACCGTTTTAAGAAATAAAACATTTACCCAACCTCGACCTTACTTTTTAAGGCAGTACAACACTGAGCAGTCACTTGTTAAGAAAATGGAATTGTAATTTAATGTATTGCAGCATTCAAACAAGCAAACAAATAATTATATCATCTTTACGATCAGTCTTCTTTCGTCCCAGTCTGAGACCTATCTTGAAAAATCCTGTTATATTCCGATCACCCGGTCAGACCCCAAAGATATTCAACTTACAATGAAAACAGGTCAGACAGGTTTGTACTTATATAACGTTCAGCTGCATTAATAGGACAGATGGACTTTATGTCTTTGCTCCAAAGATAATTTAACTATGCATCCAGTAAGTATAGGATCAACAAAACAACACAGTGTATTTAACTTGTGAGAAGCACTACATGTTTCAAAAGAGATGATAAGAGAGTTAGTCCATCCAACCAGAGCTGCATGATCTGGCATTCCCAGAATGCTGCAGGGTTTGTTTGCAAGGAGACTCTGCTGGGAGTGGACTGAGGGAGGAGAGCGGAGAGGGAGGGTGGAGGGGGCATCACCAGGAAGAGCTGGCTCATGCCCAGTGCTGAGAGTCTGCCATCCAGCCCTTGAGCACACGCTCTCTCCTAAGCTCTTTTCTAAGCTTCACTCTCATGACTGTAGCACGACACGGAGAAAAATGAGTAGAGTAGGAGGGATGAAGTTGAGCTTCAGTCAGGCAAATATGTTTAAAAGACAAAGCTGAGAAAATGTGAGATGTAAAAACAGTAATGACACAATGCTGCTGAAAATGTAGATGATTAATGAAAAAGATGGAGTGACTTCACTGTATTGACACTTAAAGAAACGGGTTAGTTCGGCTGATGGAGTTTTATCAAAAGCAGTTAGGGCTGTTTGCATCATGCTGCTGAGGACGTCTTGGTTCTTAAAGCTCAAGTGAACCAAAGACTTGAATACTGTTGAGATGATCTTTCCTGTCCTTTAACCAATGACACAGTCAGAGGTGGAAAGTAGCAAATTAAATTTAACCTACTTGGCAGGGTTTGTTCAAGTTTTTCCATATTCTTCTTATTGATACTTCTTTATCTACAGATGCAACTACAACACTGCACTTCTCCCTCCGCTACATTCATGTATCAGCTAAGGCAGCAACGTCTATTCCATGAATAAATGAACGTATATAAAATAACCAGATGATATTATGATGATCGATAAATCATAGTATTTTTTAGAACCAAAACAATGTTAAGGATGAGAGGTTTTGCATTTGTAGAGCATCACATCCTACTCTGATTTTCTTTGCACATCTGCAAAACTGTTACTGTTATACAAATTACACACAGTGAGTGTAAACTAGTGTCAGCCTCAGAGCAAGTCCATCAAAACTAAAACATGCTCTCCCACTTGTGCGCTAGAGAGGAAAACAAGAAAGAAAACTGCAGCAAATCAAATGCATAACTTTACTGAGCCAAAAATAAATCTATTATTTGGTCATTTGAAGCTTTGTTTGCTTTTAAATAAACCGACTGAACTGACTATTATACTGCAAAGGTTCTCAGGGACGACCTTAATTCTTATAGTAAAACCTATTCACATGAATTGCTGCATAAGATGCAGAAATATCAGACATATTCAAATAGAAATTAAAATAAAAAAATGACATTTCTATTCTTTTCGTATAGTTTTATGAGGTTTGAATTCTGATTTTTGACTGTGGTGAAGACAACGTGTAAAGAAAAAAGACTTTGAAACACAATGGATGTCAGACAAATTAAAACACTGCTGTCAAATCATGGAAACGCAGCGTTGAACAATGTCCCAGACAGTTTCAACATCCTGACAAAAACTGAAGACAGCTCAGCCAATCTGAAACTGGACACGCAGAGACAGTGGGAGCGCTTTCAGACATCGCCTCAGCACTACTGGGAGGCCCCAGATACATGAGTGACAGTTCTGACACCTCCACAAATCCTGTCTGCTCCTATACGTCTCTGTCTTTGAAGAAACGGGCCTTCAGAAGAAACCCGTGACAAGAACAAGTGTGCCAATGCACGGTTCACGAGGGAGATTCTAGATCGTGTGCCACATCAAGGAGCCATCACACAAGTAGGGAATTACAGATGAATATCATCTGGCCAACAGCCAGTTCAACAAACGCTTAAAAAATGCCAAGTCCCAGCTCAGGACCGGAGAGGAGAGTCAGTCTGTCATCAGTGACTCAGGCTGAAAATAGTCCTTCAAATATACCACTGCTCAACACTTGCCAATGACATTTAATTACTTCTATATTGCCATCAGCGTCCCTCTTGCTTCACCTTGATTGGTTGCCAAGTCACCATTGACTTTGTTGAACTAACCCCCCGTCTCCCTGACCATATGCTGCCTCCCCAATGGGCACTTGGCACAAGAAAACTTCTTTGACCACCATTTACTGTGACTGATTGTTCATACCTGAGCAATCCTGTGCAAATCACTGACTGGTTGTAAAAAGAAGGGTCCTGCAAGTATGTTGTACAAAAGCTTTTCTTTTTACGTTTTTACATCCAAATCCAATCATTTAAGTAATAAAGCTGTTTGATTACTAATTCAAGGGTCTTAAAACCCTCAAGAAATAATATCATGACATTTGTGCTGTTTTCTTGTTTTATAAAGTTTTCAATTAAACCAGTTTCCGACTTTGAGATCATGAAGTTCTGTCCAGTGTGAATTTAAATCTAAATGGAACCTTTTACACAATTTCTTGTGAGTTTGTGTTTACAACTTTCAACTACAATTTGATTTCGACAGTAATCTACAAACTGATTATGTAGTTTCATAATAAACTGTATATATCCAGCCTCACATCTAAGTCAGTATTATATGCAAATATGGACAGAGACTAATTATTTCACATGAGCAGTTTTAAAATGTTCTGCAGGAAATTAAAGATGTCATGTCTTCATTTTGCTGTAGACTCATTGGTCCTTTGTTTGTGCCTCAGCAAAGTGCAAACATAACAAAATACCACTCATGAGAACGGAGCCAAATCTCGGTCCCACTGAGCTGCAACAATCCTACTTTTCTTTTGTTGGTTTGGAGCATATTAGTTTTTAACCATCTGTTTCCAGTCTGTTGGTACCTACAAATTTGCTCTATATCTCCCAAAAGGGACAGAATTTGGATTTTCAGAAGTTATTTCCACGTTTTTTTTTTCTATTGGATAGACTGTAGGGTCAAGTGTGGACCACCAGTTTGTTGGTATATATTATTGCCTATATCCCTCAATGGAGAGCCCATGGTATCCAATGGGAAAGTATATGATTTGTAGCTTCATATCAGAGTAAGCACATAGAAGCTTGTGTAATTTTCATTACTTAAAGAATTAGTTCAACATGTTGGGTCAAATCTGAAAAGATGTTTGAAAATGGAGCCAGTTAGTTTAGCTTAGCACAAAGAATGGGAGCAGGGAGGGACTGATCTACCCAACAACAGAAAACTTATTAACCTCCCACTCTAAAACTCACAAATGAACATGTTGTACTTTAACGTGTATAAAAACTGAAAAAAAATACGGGTGTAGTAACATAACATGTTAGACCCCGTGCAAATAAAATGGATTATTAATGAATTTCAGTTTTTGTATTGGTCAAAAATATGTTTAATCCAGAAGATGTCATTCTATAGGTAGATGTTTGTACAATTGGACAGAACCAGGCTAGCTGTTTCCCTTTGTTTTCAGTCTCTGTGCTAAGCTAAGCTAACTGTGTGGTGTCAATCTAATTCTCAGCAAAAACGCACAAATCTGCTTTATTTAAAACATATTTTCCAAAAGTCAAACTACACAAAACATAAGTATGACAATGACATATTTTCTAGCCACTAGCCCAACTTTACATATGTCTGTCTGAATTAACATATGAAGCTACCCAAAAAGTATGACTTCACACATTGTCAAGAAAGCAGACAGATTGCTGTGTTGTCTGCATCATGAGCAACAAGGGGTGATAACAAGTCACAGTTTGTGTTAACATGTGTTTCAGAGGTTCTGTGCAGCGCCAGACAAAGATCAGCCACTATACTCTGGGACAGTGCAATAGAAGAAGTGAACCAGCTCTCATTTTAAGTACATTGTAATGTGTGACTCTCTGGTGCAGCCTGTAGTCTTAAAGTAAATCACCTCCAGAGCAATGCAGATACCAGACAACACCTACGAATCGATATTGAGCCACGTTCACGCCTTCATAAAATGGAGATAAAATTTAAGCAGTGACACCGCTGAGACGTCCTCGGCTCATAAATTAAACATTTTTCTTAAATATGGTTTTCAAAGGGGAAGTTTTCACACTGTGCTCATCGCCTCCTGTGGGTCTGTCATCACAGGAGGAGCCAGACCTGTGGGCAGACCAGTTCTGACTGGGTATGTGGGGTCATTGGGATCAGTTACCAGGCGACAGCTTGGCACATGTCTCCCTCATCTGGACATGAGTGGAAGAGCAAGGTTAAGTAAGTACATGGGTCAATGCAGAGTGCTAAGGAGGAAAAACAAGAACAAAAGGGATATTGTGCAGTTTGCAGGTTCCAAGAATGACTAGTTTATGAAGCACTTAGATCAGCGCCAGACGAGCCTTGCAGCTTATGTGCTGCTCAGAGGATCACACACTCAGCACTGTGGCCCTATGCATGTGCAGTGTGGAGATTCAGCACATGGATCCCATGCATGTAGTAGTGGGCTCGATCAAATCCAGGAGTGCATTTTATCTGACACGTGATGCATTATTTAGTTACTTTTCCATCTTGAGGGCTGAGACGGTCACACCCCTCTCTGGAGAGCCCAAGTGGAACCGCTTGCTATGATACAATGCACACATTTCCCCATTTAGCTGCATGCAGGGACATTATTCTCCCATTTACTCTGCGTGTTTCAAATCAGAAATCACAGGCCCTGAACCCACAGACAGAATCAATCAGCCTCTCTCTGCCATGGTCAATCACTGTGGACTCCAGGGTTTCTACCAGTGGCATGTGCAGCAGCAGATATCATCATGCACATGCACCAAGCATTAGACAATTGTTTCCCTGTGGTGATTAAACCGGGGATGAACTTTCACGTGACACATGGGAGAGTCTGTGTTAGAATGAAATAGCTCCACACTCTATGTGACCTGACATACAATAAAAAAAAAAACACGGTGCGATTAGGGAAAAGCTGCAGCAGGCGCACACGCAGACATCGGATCATATGCAATGTGCGGCACCACATATTCTGCACTTCAACTCACCTTGAGCGGCCGTTCCTCTGGTGCTGAATACACTTGCTATCAGAGTGGCCACATACCAAATCATAGTACTATTGCCGACCAGCTATTACCACGCAAAGTGCCCCGTTCAACCAATCTCTCATATTCGACCTTGCACCTCGCGGTCTCTCGGCACGATCCCCCTTTTCATATCCTGCTCTCTTTCCTCGTGGCGCGTCCCTTCATCCCTTCCCTCCCCCGTCCTTCCATCCGCATCCTCTCCCGAAGAGACAGAGCACCTGCACCGCCGCGCTTGTAGTAGACGGAGCCGTTTTTACGAGCGCATAGTGAAACCAAGTGTG